TTGTTGCCACAGCTTTATACAAGGGTTTCTAACAATACTTTGCAATCCTTAACAACATCTCAAGTAATGTTATACTGTAGGTTTTTGGTGGAGGATATGGTAGGATCACAATTGAGGATTAGCTTGTGGCATGTAATAGCAATAACTTTTGCTTGGATGTGCATGTGCTTATAGTGGTTGTAAAGTAAACATTGCAAAACACAAACTTTAGGAAATTGTGTGGTTGTGGTAAAACATGTGGTATTTCTATAATATCCTTATTAATGAGTGGTGCCACTATATTGCAATACAAACTCAACTATAAAAGATATTGAATGTGTATCTCTATACCTCCTTTCGCATTCCTTCAATTGAAACATTCGTGTTAAAATATAAATTATTTAATAGCCATGCTTGGGTGATAATTTGTATAGTATATGAAATCTAAGTCTATATGTGCTTTTCAAGTCATTCCAAGAAGCTTGTGAAAATAACCTCATGCAAGTTATACACTTGCCACTTATTCCATATATCAATGAGGCATTCTTTATTTGTTATAATAAATATGATCTTGGAATACCATATGACCTTGAATTATATCTCCTTCAAAACGTACTACCAAAAAATAATTACTACTAGTTTTGTAGTGTATTATATACAATACCTAGTTGCGGATAGATGACTTGCACGTGAATATTTTTTCACCCTTTCATGCATTGATTATATCAAGTTTAACTTTTTTGAACTCTTTTTTTATACATTTACTTTGAACAGCCATATTTTAAAAATATTATACTCTTATATTAATGGCATTTTTTTATTTGTCAACACATGCATGACTATATAATGGGTCTCTAGAAGAGGCTAGAATACTACATATATAAAAAGAGTTAGCTTCTATATATAATTCCATATAAATATAAACCCTAATCACTAATTTCCCAATAGACTGTCCAGGCAAGAATAGGAAAAATATAAAAACACCACAATGCCATAGGCTTTTGATATTGAAAGATATATATGGTATCAATTCTAGACAATCACTCTTTCAAAACATATGTGAGTTAATGGGGTGGCTATTATTCTATAACCAACTTCTCATAACTCCCCATTAGCATATATGAGACCCTACATTGTAATATTCTTGCATTGCAGCAAAATTTGCTAAAGAATTACTTTCATCCCATCTACACCCTTGATTGGATATACTTTTTTTCAGCTCATGTTTTTCAAATGCCAATGGAATGTACTCTAGTCTACATTGATTGTAATAGTGAGATTGCCTACTTTATAACACCTTTTCTTTCATCTATGCAATCACATCCTTGTGTATAGGCATCTTTACTATATTTAGAGCTTCCTTAATGGCACACTCAATCTCCTATCTCATAATAGTAATAATCTTGTGAATATTAATGATAAAGAAGTTGAATTCAATAAACTCCTTAAGTTCATCCAAGAGTTCGTTGGATAGCTTCATGAATAAAATATAATTTATCATCCTGAATAATACACCAACCACTTTATTATCACCTCCATACTTATATTAAATCTTAAAAAACATCTCTCATAAGAACTCTTATTAATGAGTAAGGCGGCCTTAAAGATTTTTTTAACAACTGAAATACTAAAGAGACTAATGGTTTATATTTATATGAAAGTTTGATTCATATAGATAATATTCATAGCAGCAATCACAACATACAACTCCTTATTTTAAGTAGGTTAATTCTATTATGTAGCATCAAACTTGTAACTCATGTATGTGAAAAAATGCCCAACTTGAAGCAATACAACCCCAATAGCAATGTCACTCACATCTCACCACAAAAGGCTTTTTAGGATAAGAAATCTTTAATAGACACAAATGCTGAAATATCATTTGACACTTTTCATCTCAACTATGAATAGTAGCATGTTTTGATGTGTTCTAAAGAACATTAGTCAAGGGAACTAACTACCTCATATGTGCATTTCACCAACTCTAAAGTATTAATTAATGGAGTATCACTATTTTTTGTCCATCTCTATTACATTCCCATCAACATTAATACTTAGAATAATGTGCTCCCAATCAATCCTTAGTTTTTGATTACAAAACCATTCCTTCCTAAGAACAACATTTGTGCGACCAAGATTCATAATTTAGAATGACAGATGGTTGAGATTTCTTTGAATAGTCAAAAGAACACTTAAAGCCCATTTACAGTAAACATAAGTGCTTCATTTACCATAACCACCTTGTAGATTATCAAGTTCTTTTCTAAAGTTTCTTCACTATGTTAAAACTTAAAAAGTTGTGTATAATATTTGGATTGAAAAGAATACTAAATGCACCAATTTGAATGTCCCCTCAAGGGGCTTTCACAAATTGATTATGCATGGAATTATTGAGCTCTAGAGAGTTGATACAAACTCAAGAGTTTGGTTTTTGAACTTTTGCCAAAGGACCATAACAAATACTTAAGTCATTTCCACAATAGATTACATAACATTTATGTTATAATTCAGTGCAAAACAACAAAAATTTAATCTTTTTAAATTACATTACACCTTCTTTTAAAGTTCCTCACCCCAAGTTAGCTCTATTGAGGGTAAATTAGGTTTCTTACCTTAGCATGCCTTAATATACCCTTGAGTTTCCCTTTGACCAATGTTAACTAGCACCTAATAATTTTCTTTGATCCTTTCACAAGAGGATAATATTCATTTTGATGTCCAACATTGTGGCAACTAAAACAATCACTTTTTACCTCTCTTTTTTCTATTGATCTAAATAAAGCTTTTTAGCCTCATTGCCATCTTTATTATTCGATTATTTCTTCCTTAAATATGAAGTATTGGTTGGCTGGTCATGATTTTGACTACCGTAGACCATCCTATTGACTAGAGTTGACCAAGTTGACTAATGTCACTAAGGCTCAAATCTTTTCAATCCGCTAAGTTTAAATATTTGAGGAAACATTGCATCTTTAATAATTTATTATAAGTGTTTGTGAGATTAATGCAAAGATCACAAAATTTGTGGGTATACACATCCAAAGACAAAGTCCCTTACCTAATCTTTAACAATTAATTTATGAGATCAACTTTTTCAAACTTTTTGATAAATGAAGTGAGAAAAACTTTTTCCAAGAAGTCAACTTTATATTAGCTTTAATGTAATTCTTTTGCCATGAAGAAGTATGATCTGTAAGCTTTATCACAAAAAAATCAATCTTTATTTTGTCTTCAGAAGGGTTATGAGATTAATAAGGTTCTCATAATTCCAAAATAACAATCAATCTCCTGGCTATAACAAACATTTAGTACAATACTATAATCCTTAGCGTGTTTGATGTAACAATGATAATCACAAACATGAAAATTAAGGGTCAATGCAAAACATGAAATCCTTAATAAAATTGATGGAATCCTTAATGTCACTCTGAACCTTAGTGATTTAGCATTCTTGTTACATGATAATATCATTAAAAGTTTCTTTCTACTACTTTGATACTAATAAAATTAACAAGGAGTGAATTGTGGGCATGGCTAGTTCAAAAATTCATTTAACATTCCATATGAATAATATTTACACTTTAATAATCCATCATCCAAATCCCAAAGATTAATATTGGGAAGGTTAATCTAGTTAATATCAAAGATTAATGAAGATATGCTGTAAGACAACTCAAGAGTTGTTGATTCAGTGGAATGATTATATGGGAAACTAAAAATGACATGAAAAGAGTGTTTCTAAGTTTTGGTTATAACTTGGATAAAAGGGCTATATTGCCTCTTATTTTTATGACCAAAGCCATATTGCTTTTTTTTTCATAATTATTTTTCTTGACATTTTTATTCCATGGCTGTATTACATTAAACTCTCTTCATGTGAAGCTTATTTAACTTCTCAAGGCTGCCATTCATAGATATAGTTCATAATGGAGGGGTGAACCACAGGAATAATCTAAGAATATTCCGGGATTTAAGGTGGCTCTGAGATCTCTATGAGCTAAGTATATACTTAAGACTACATAAAAAGTATGTTTCACTGTTCTATGTGTTTTATTGTATCTTAGTCACATAAAACATAACTCAGAATTTTCAGTTCTTGATATCCCTAAGGGGTGTGTATAACTCTACTGAAGATTGGTGTTACAAGGCTTCCAAAACCATCACTTCAAGGGGATCACATTTTTCCATCAAAGTTTCCTCCCAACCAAAGTCAAAGTGGGACTTCAGCAAAACTTTCATAAAGCCTTTTTTTCTTTACTTCTTCTTCTACAGTGATGCCAAGAAAGAATTCGTGGAACAACTGGCTCATCTGGAGAAAGGCACTCATTCCAGGCAAGAAAAATCCCAAAACTCTAAGAGTGAAGCTACATGGTGATCAAACACATGGTTTGATTATAAAATCAAGTTTGTTCTTACAACAAAGTATTTGACGTGTAAGCGCGTGTCCCTCCCCCGTGTGACGACAACCCCACGGTGGAGATTGAATCGCGCACGGGAGTTCTCCATCCTAGCCGTCGAAAGCGTTGTGTAAAAGCACTCTTATTTCCTCTCTGGCGTTCTAGGGTCTTTATCTCGTCTAGTGATGGCTCTGGAGTGGGGAGCTCTGGCTCTCGTCGTCGCCGCCGAAGGAATCTTGTTACTCTTCGCTACATTCCCAGGATCTCACAAATTTGTCAAGGGAATCGTCGCCGTCCTGCGCAGCGCGCTCCAGCCGCTACTTTCGATCGTCCCCTTCGCGCTCTTCTTGCTCCTGGATCTGTACTGGAAGTATGAGAATCACCCACGTTGCGAGGGGCCGTCGTGCACTATCGTGGAGCGCGAGCACCACGCCAAATCCCAGATGAAGAGCCAGCGAAATCTCCTCCTCGTCATCGCCGCGCTCTTCCTCTACTGGGTCCTCTACCGCGTCACCGCCATGCTCGTCCGCATCGATCACCTCCAGCGCAAGACGAAGATCCAGAAGGATGGAGACGACGAAGACTCGGATTGAAAGAGCAATGCTTCCTTTTTTTTTGTGTTTAAAGTGTAATACATGAAATTTCTTCCAAGAACCCTAAAGCTCCAAGTAGTAGCGCCAAGCCATGGCGGTAGGGTTTTAGCGCTCGTAGATAGGCGCGATCGAAGCGCCGGGCAAGCGCCGGGGCTGGGTAGACCATCGCCATGGCTGGAATGTGAGAGATTCCAGCTCTTTTTTCGCGTCGCAATGGTGATAGAATACGTCTACGAGGCCCTCACGGATGGCCTGGTCGAAGAACCGGTGATGGTTTTGGATACGCCGGCCAACGATGCCAAGAGATTGTGCGATTTCGAGCTGGAAGAAAAAATCCAAAGATTTACGTCGCACACACAGGACTCATCGCTCAAGGTGGACAAAACAAAGCTTGTTTCGTTTCTGGATGCCTTGCTCGCAGAGAAAGCCCGGCGGGAGAAATCTAAGGTAAGCGTCGTTTTGGTTTCGTTCCAGGCTTGAGATCTTTTCTTTGTTTTTTTTTTTTTTTTTTCGTTTTTGCGTCGAACAGGAAACTGGAGCAACATCTTTGCAACAGGTATCGATTTTTTTTTATTTGTTCTGTTCGCTTCGTATGCTTCTGATGGAGTGTTTGATCGGTCGTGCAGATCACTGAAAAACGTTCGTTTTAATTTGCTGGAAGTTAAGCAAGTTTGAGAATTTCCATTTTTCCTGACCAAATTTCAGGTTGCATCGGCTCTGATCGAAACACACCTATTGACACAGGTAGAAACTCCAAGGTATGGAATAGACGAAAGTTTCAAACAGTGATATTTGTTTTTTTCGTTACAGGAAAGAAAAGTTGAAATCAATCTCTCGAGGGGACTTAGCCCTCCAAGAGCGTTCGATTCGGAACTAAAAATTCTCAGGTTTCAACGAGGAAGGAAACAGAGTCCTGCCACCGAAATGCCTAAGAGTTGTTCGAATGGTCTTTCTTCCAAGTAAGGTTTCGTTCTTTCGCTTTTTGGTCGGGCCTTCTGACACTGGTTGATAAGAACAACCGTGGCCGAACGGGGTAAACAACATCGTTTCTCTCCACAGGTACTCGGGTGAGGGTCTTTGAAGAGCTATACAGTTTTTCAACGTGATGTAGGTATTAGATGCCGAGGAAACTTCTGCTAGAAGGAATACTCGTTCGTCTCCGGTAAGCTTTGACGTATTGCGATTAATCTATGTACTATTTCGTTCAACTCATCAGGATACGGTGGTTTTGTTTTCATCTGACGATGAAAACGAGATCAAAGTCATGGAACCTGCCGCTATATCCACAAGGAGAACAAGCTCGCGCATTGCAGCGAGAAGGTCTGTACAGTTCATCTGTGAAAGTTACACATTGGTTTCGTTTTGTCAGGAAAATGGACTTAAATATGAAAATTGCATATCCATCCAAGTATGTTGTTTTGCACGGATGACAATATCATTCTAAGAACTTATATTTCTTACAGGGATGACCCCGACGCTCTTGAGGTTTATTATGGAGACTTTAGTCGTTTACAACCAGCGGAGTTTCTGAATGACACAGTGATCGACTTCTACATCAAGTGCGTTCTCTGCATCTTATGTTGCTTGCCACCTATCTGACCCCTGCAATACCCATCAGGTATCTCCAGAGGGAAGCTATAGATGCGGAACGCAAAGAGAAGTTCCATTTCTACAGCAGCTTTTTCTTCAAAAAGCTTAGCGAGGCATTCGACACTGAGGTACACAACTTTGTCCGCGTTGTAATGCTTACAGTCGCAGTAGGCCAAACAAGTAGAAGCATTTTCCAAGCTACGGAAGTGGACAAAAGGAATTGACATTTTTTCGAAGTCATATCTTTTTCTCCCAATCAACGACAGGTAAGTTTTTTTATTGTTCACAAAATTTTACTCTCTCTCTTTTTTTCAGGTTGCACTGGAGCTTGGCTATCGTCTGCTTCTCCCTGTCAGACGGGGGATTGACGCCATACATTTTCCATCTTGATTCGCTTGACAATGGACACTCTAGCAGGGAACTTTTCAAATACATTCAAAAGTTTGTCAATATTTCGTGTTACTAGATTTCCTCTAAGTTCCTCTCTTTCGTTCTACTACAGGTATCTTGAACTGGAACATGCTCAAATGGAGACAGCAATCGAAATTAAATGGCGTGAAACTGTGAAGAAAAGAGTAGAGGTGCGGCTCATTTCATGCTTTTCTCCTGTTACATTGTTATGTTTCAGGTACCTCGGCAAGAGAACGAGTATGATTGTGGGCTATTTCTCTTGTATTACATCAAGCGTTTTGTGGAAACCGCTCCTCTGCCTTGCAAGCTAACAGACACAACAAGCCTGGTATTAAGCTTGTTCTCGATTCTATTGTATTGGAACGAACTTTCGTTCTTATGTGTTTCATTGTTTTCTATGCAGTTTGGCAAACGCTGGTTCAAACCTTCCGATGCTTCGATGTTGCGATGGACAATCAGAGAAATTCTAGAAAACCTTTTCGAAGCGACAAGTCCTGAATGACGTGGTCTAACAAGGTACTAAAATCCTTGCGGAAGTTCTTTTCGTTTAATGGATCCTTTGTTTTTAGATGCACATATGATTCCTGCGAGCCTTGGCGAGCATTTTTCTCCCCTCGATCAGAGGTAGCTCTTGCGGTTTGCCAATGAAAATTAGCGTCACCCAGTTCCAGAGATTTTTTGTCCAACAGGAACAATGTATATGGTAGCACCGGAATTCCTGTGAGCGATGTATTTATGAGAATAACACATTACTAGTCTTCCCTTGTTGAAAGCTCTACATTCTGGCCAGCGTTTTGCGAGTTATATGTAATGACGCCGATTCCAGCAACAAGGTGTTTTGGCTCTGATATGATCTAGCTCTATTTCTCGTTGTTTTTCCTTCTTTTCTAACTCCCTTTTCATTTCAGCAACCTGGTGAACACGCGAAGTGGAAAGCTATCCAAAACGAAGAGAGAAAAGGAAAAGGGTACCCGTATGTTGTCCTCCATAAGCTGTTTGAGGTAGTCTTTCTTATGTTGGATTCGTCCCATGTCATGGTTTAGAGAATGTGGAGCAAATCTGTCACAAAGTTTCCACCAAAACGATGAAGAAAATGGAGAGGTTTGGATTTCTTACTTGCTTAGGTACTCGTTGTAGCAATTCAAGTCGTGATCTTCGTGGGCTCTCCGGATCCTCTCGGACTCTTTGATCTTAAGTTGCTCTTCCATGCAACCTTTGAGCTCCTGCCTGGAAAAACGCTTGGACAAACTTCTTCCCTGGGGAAAAAGAATGAAATTCTCACTTACTGACGCCTCCTTGTCTCGTCCCGGTTTGGCGAAACCCGCTGCTTCACCTCCGCCTCCTTCATGTAATACTTCTCCTGCTGGATCTTGAGGAGCTCCAACTGATCGTGATACTCCTTGTCGATATTCTGCCAAACCAGAGGAAAATTTTCGACGATGATCGCGCGAGAAACAGACACTCACCTCTTCATTCTTGGCGTAGGCGATGGCCGATCGAGGCCGCCTGTTGAGAATGCTCTGCCGGCACGGCAACATCGCTAGAGGATCCTCGATTCCTTCTCCTTCCTCCGCGCGGCGCTATAGAAACCCTATCCTCCCGCCCATTCGCCCTAAAATTCCCCCCCCTCGGTGCTCAATGCTCTCTTCGTTCGCTCTTCTCAACGATCTTCTCCTCCATTCGACCAAGAGACGCTGCGTCACAGAATTAGGGCTTACAAGACCGCGACACGTGTCAACTAACTGCTTAATGTCATGAGCCCGGGAAAATCGTACGGCACTGCCCACGTTTTCCATTCGAATTTGCACGGAAGGAAATCTAGGGCTTTTCGTTTAGGTTTATTGTTGGCGAGCAAGGGGCCCGCGGCGCCCATCGCCAGGAGCGCCAGGTTTGCAGCACAAATCACTCGTTTTCTTCGATTTCCCTATTCGCTAGGCTGTCGGCGGCAGGACATTTGATCGCATTAAGCGACAAGAGCGAGTGTTGACTTCAATTCTTGTGAGAATTGTGCCAATCGCTCTCTCCTGCCACTGCAAGCCATAGATTTTCTCGAGTTTCTGGTGATTTCTTCCCTTTCCCAGTGGGCCATGCGTTTCTTCCTGCGATGATTGCTACCATTCGACAAGCTGATGCGTTTCTTCGTCTTCCATTTTGTCACTCTCGGCTTTTAGCAGCGCCTGCAAACACGTTTCCTTGTGCGTGTCTTTTGTCCGAGGTTCATGCTCAAGGACTTGGTTTTACCAGGCCTCTCACTGCTAAGAGGGAGGATCGAGAGAGTCGTGTAGCCGCTAGAGTGGGCGATCAAGGCCGGGTGATGGCCATCGTTAGCGTTCCTCCGCCGGGATACAGAGCCAATGTCGGTGTTTGTCTCATCAACAAGAAAAACCAGGTGAAAACTCGCGCCTTGGATCGTTTGTTTCTTTCAGAGACTTACTTCTTGTCCAGGTCTTTGTTGCGAACAGGCTCGATGTTCCTGGATCCTGGCAAATGCCTCAGGTATGAGATCGTTTTTTCTTTCCTCCCTTCTGATCGTAGCTAGATCTTTTCTTTTTCGATAGGGAGGTGTTGACAAGGGGGAGGAGCCACGAGAAGCTGCGATCCGAGAGCTACGAGAGGAGACTGGAGTTACTTCAGTGGAAGTTCTTGGAGAGGTGAGTCAAAAGAACGATTTTTTATGCTCCTTTTTCATTGATGCTTCTCGCAGGTTCCAGAGTGGCTGACTTACGACTTTCCTCCCGATGTGAAAGCGAAGATCACCCGGCTCTGGGGGAAAGAATGGACGGGTCAAGCACAGAAGTGGTAAACTTCGTCTCTACGTGGTTCCTGAGACGAGACATTTTGTTTGTTTTTCTTCGACAGGTTTCTCTTCAGATTTGCCGGAGACGAGAGTGAGATTGATCTTGCTGGTGATGGCAAAGAGGCTGCTGAATTTGCCGAGTGGAAATGGCTGCCAGTTCCAGATGTAATCCAAGCAGTAAGATCTCAAAAATCTCTCCTTTCTCGAAATCTCTCGTGGCTTTTAAATGTCTGTGTTCTTCCAGGCCGTAGAGTTCAAGAAGCCAGTCTACGAACAAGTATTCAAAGTTTTCACGCCGATGATCCAGGCCTAGATAAAAAGCATTTTTCTAATGAATGCCCCCGCGTACGTTCAAGATTTTGCCGCGTGGCAGATTTTCATCCGTCGATGTAGCTCTTTAAGAATAAAAAAGAGTTTGCTTCCTCTTCTTTTCCATGAACCCTAAAACGAACTCTATGGTGTAGGTTTTGTGGAGCTCGCGCTTCTCTGCGGCACACTGCGATGGCGCTGCGGCTCCAATCTTCCTCCGGGGGCGCCGAGCGTCCCTCAAATGTAAGTCTGAGCTTGAATCGATTGGAAGGATTGACGATTCTCCTCTGCCGCCTCAGTCGGATTCGCAAGACAAAATACCGGCATTCTCCGTTGTCCGGAAGAAGACGCCCTTTCAGAAGCACAGGGAAGAAGAAGAGGCTAAGAAGAAGGTATGAAGAAGTGATTGGGAGTTTCGATTGTTTCATCTTTCTTTCTTTTTATTCTCTCGATTGTAGCGTGCCGACGAAGAAGCTGCCCGTCTCTACGAAGAGTTTGTCGAGTCGTTCAAGGCTGATGACACTCCAGGCAGCAAAGCATTTGTTCGCGGTGGAGTTATGAATCCAAACGAACGAGTAAAGGCCACCTCGGAAAAGGAGAGAGACAAGAGTAGCTCGGAGAGTATGTTGCCTTGTTCCTCCTGGTTCTCGAATTTTGATCGTGTTTTTTATTGACTCACAGGTCCTGTGACGAGAGTGCCTTCCTCCGCAAAAAAACCTGGCAGCAGGTATAATTTCTAGTCACAAGTTTCTTCTTCTTTGCTCAAAGTTTTCTTTGTTTTTGTTTCCTCCAGGTATGTGCCATCTTTCATTCCGCCTGGATTGGCAGCAAGTGTAAATAAGGACAAGGAATCTGACAAGAAGGTACATGTTGATTACAGGTTTTTGATAAATGAACTGAAGAGCCTCATTCTCTTATCAACTCAAATTTGCACGTTACTTTAGAAGGATGAAGAGAAAGCCAAGGAAAAAGATCGTGGCAAACCCCGCAACATAGATAATTTTATGGAAGAGCTGAAAAAAGAACAAGAAATGAGGGAGAAGCGCCATCAAGACCGAGAGCATCGACAACGAGATGGAAAACCACGAGGCACTTCAACGGTAGTTATATACTATATAGCTTTCAGTTGGTCCGCGCTCGCTTGGGGCCAAAATCGTCCTGCAAAAGCTAAACGTTTTCGTGAATAACCGGCTTACCTTCTGTGTCCAGCCTCCCAGTCGTTTCGACGAGCTTCCCGAAGAAGATCCGAACGGCAAGCTTCCTGGATCGTTTGATGATGGTGATCCACAGACGACCAATCTCTACGTTGGAAATCTCTCACCGCAGGTAAAGCTTCTATGTTTTCTCGTTCTCTCTCTTGATATATATATATATATATATGCACTGGTTTCAGGTCGATGAAAACTTCCTGCTGAGGACGTTCGGTCGTTTTGGACCAATTGCCAGCGTCAAGATTATGTGGCCACGAACAGAAGAGGAAAGAAGAAGGCAGCGTAATTGTGGATTTGTTGCTTTTATGAACAGGGGTGAAGCTCAAGCTGCAAAAGACGAGATGCAAGGTTGAGAAGTTTTTCTTCTTCATTCTTTCCTGATTATTTTGTTTGTAGGTGTTGTTGTATACGAGTATGAGTTGCGCATCGGCTGGGGTAAAGCAGTCGCTCTTCCAGCCCAGGCTCTTCCTGCTCCTCCTCCTGGCCAAATGGCTATACGGTCGAAAGAGGTACGTTGGTTTTTTGCAATCGAAAGTTGTGTAGAGACGTCGCTTTGCAGGGTGGTGCCACAGCTGATGTTGCATGGTCTGGCCCAGGGGCTCCTTCTGCCGTTTCAGTTAATACTCAAAATGCTGAAGTGGTAAGCTTTTTAAAGCACTTGCTTCCTTATCAAGACAATGTTTTTGTAGGTGCTGACACCCAATGTTCCTGATATTGAGGTGGTTCCACCGTCAAACAGTCATCTTCGACATGTTATAGATACCGTGGCTATGTATGTTCTTGACGATGGCTGTCCTTTCGAGCAAGCCATTATGGAAAGAGGCCGTGGTAACACTTTATTTAACTTTTTATTTGATCTGGGATCCCCCGAGCACACATACTATGTCTGGCGACTCTATTCTTTTGCTCAGGTATGGCTTACTGGGGTGGGGTTTGTAGTTTTCATTTTCTTGAGCTTTTTCATGCCTGGTTATGATTGCTGGACAATCTGACGAGTAGTTTCTTATATGAAATGTAGGGAGACACACTTCAAAGATGGAGGACAGAGCCTTTCATCATGATCACGGGTAGTGGGCGGTGAGTGTTGTGTTTTTCTTTCTATTCTTTTTTTATCTTCTCAAGTTCGTTTGGACTCGCTTATAGAGCTCCATTGGCTTAGAGTTGGTAGTATTGGATACACGAGGGAGTGAATATTTTTGCTGTTTCTGATGGATTTAATTGATCAGATGGGTTCCTCCTCCGTTACCTCAGCAAGATGCTGTAAGAAGTCCCGAGCATGAGAAAGCATCAACTTTTGCTGCTGGCAGAGTCAGGGTAAGACCTCTAATTTTCCTCGTTTTTTTTTCTTGCTTCTAAGGTTGATTTACAGAGAGATACGTTTGAAAGATCACTCGCGGATGCCCAACGTGACGAGTTTGAAGATATGTTACGTGGTTTGACGCTTGAAAGAAGTCAAATAAGAGATGCAATGGGTTTTGCTCTTGACAACTCTGAAGCTTCTGGAGAGGTATGGTTTGGTGTTTCTCTGAAAAAAAAAAACACTTTGTGCGTCTTGCAGGTGGTTGATGTCTTGACGGAGTCTCTTACAATCAAGGAAACACCAATTCCAACTAAAGTGGCGAGGCTTATGCTCGTATCTGATATACTACATAACAGCAGTGCTCCGGTGAAGAATGCATCGGCTTATCGCACCAATTTTGAAGCTCGGCTACCAGATATTGTGGAGAGTTTCAATGACTTATACCGCAATATAACAGGACGAATAACAGCCGAAGCACTGAAGGTAATGTGCATCATATTTGTTCGTGAACGCTGACTAGCTATTCTCTTGCAGGAGCGCGTGCTGAAAGTCTTACAGGTTTGGGCGGACTGGTTTTTATTTACGGATGCCTACGTAAATGGATTAAGAGTCACTTTTCTACGCTCTGGAAGCTCTGGTGTTCCTGGCTTCCATGCTCTCTGTGGAGATGCTCCACCAGCTGGACTGGAAGATGAGCAGAGTATGGACGAGGAAAGAGTTCATGAAGCCGCTCTTGCGGTTTGCCAAGGAGAGCCTGCAGCCGAGTTGATGAGCTTGCCCTGTGCGGAACTAGAAAGAAGATGCCGTCACAATGGTCTATGCATACGAGGAGGGAAAGGGATCATGGTGGCCCGGCTATTAAATCTGGAAGAGTCCGAGAAACAGAAGGCTGGGAATGGAAGAAACGACTTGCACAAGGCTGCGAGGCAAAGGCCGGTCAAGCGTTTCGATGATGATCCTGCCGATACGCGGAAGAAAACCATCTTGCCTGCTTCAAAGTGGTCGAAAGAGGATGACGGCAGTGAAGAGGAGGATAGAAACGATGGAAGGGTGGGGTATTCCTCTGGAGACGAAGTGTTCGAGAGGCGCATGGACAACGATAGAAGAATAGACGAAGAAAGAAGGCAAGTCACTCTCTCACTTGGTACTGACTGATCGACTTCGCTTTGTAACAGGCAAAAGTTGAGAAGGCTGGAGGTGTCGGTGATGGAGTACAGGGACTCGCTAGAGGAGAGAGGCTCGAGAAACGTGGAGGAGATCGAGAGGAAAGTAATGCAACACAGGAAAAAGCTGGAGTCAGATATTGGCGTGGAGGATTCTTCCCGAGGCTCCGGTAAGAAGATTCACATTTTATAGTTCTCCAGTCTCTTAGACCATCAAAACTTGTAGATCGAAACGAGAGGAGGGACGTCTTCTCCAGGAAACGAACCAGGAGCCGGAGCCGCAGCCGGAGTCCTCCAATGCGCGGCAAGGGTAGATCGAAAGAAAGGGAGCGAGGTAGCAAAGATAGAAGGGAGAGAGAGAGAAGAGCAAGAAAGTGAAGGTTGCTTGCTTGCTTGCTTCATTATAAAGTGGGCTTTGTCCAGAAATTCTTTTAAGTCACTAAGCTTAGAACGATCTTGATCATTCGAGTTGGCCGGGAAACCGTGCTCGATCATGATTGCTCGATTCAACCAAGGCAAGTTTGGGCGATCTAGAAGCTCAAGATCTCAAACTCGGCTAGTACTTAGAAGTTTCTTCTGGCAGTGATGGCTTGATCTTGAGCTTGAGAGCGTTCCGGGCTGATAGAGCCAGCTCTTTCTCCGCGCCGCTGAGGCACCGGCCATAGCTGCGAAGGTAGTAAACGCAGCTGCGATGGCAAGAGCAGTCATCGTCACCGAAGCAGTAGTGGACACTCTCCTCCCGAGCTGCTGTTTGGACTGAGAAAATGAGGAAGATCGCCACGACCAACATCGAGATCTTGACCATCCCAGCCTTCAACATCGCCATTCCTGGTGGAAACCTTCTCCCTGGAAAGAAGAAAGAACAAGAGAGGCTCGCTTGAAGTTCACACTAATCTTCTCCTTCGAAACTCTCGAATCGAAAAGAAAGAAAGAACACTCTCTACTTTTATGGTCCTAGTGGTGTATCCACCGCATCAAAGCGCCAAAACTGTGGATCCTGGGAAGAAACTTTCACCTGTTCCAGAGATTTAATACTCTTCCAGCCGAGTAATCGTCTTCCAGCTCAAGAGAAATCTCATGACAGCTGCTGCAAGAGGACAAAAGAAAACGATGCGTCACACTATAGTCTTTGCGGGCCGTCACAATCTATGCTAGCTCCACGCTGTTCCGAAGTTTTCCAGGAGCTCGAGATATTTGGCTGGGCGATACGGAAATCTTCGGGGAGTTATGTTGAGAACAAAGTTTGCACTGCTTTGGTGGTTGGATTTGGTCGCTCCGATTTTGGGAATTCACAGAAGGAAAACATTACATAACTTAAAGTAAGCAAAAACGCAAAGATTTTTCCAGTGAAGAACTTCCTTGTCGCAAGTTCTCTCATCCGTCGTGGAGACTTCATATGATTGACGTTTCTTTGCGTGTGTAGCTCTCTCCATAGAAAGTTCAGCGGTACGGCAGTGAGCTCCCTTCACTGAAATTATGTTAAGTGACGGCGTCTCTCTTGTTTTCTGCTGCACTGTAGCTTTGCAGCTGCTGATCCATTCCCTGCATATGTCCTGGCCAGTCTTGATAATCCTCCGTGACTTGTTGAAAACCAAACAGGCGTTCTTCTTCGAGTGACAGTAAACCAGGATTTTGGCTGCTCGACTTCTAGTTCTTTGTCTTCCTCGACGATCCTTACATTATCCATGGCGGCGATGTAACGAAACGAAGAACCATCTCTTCCGAGCTCTAGCATCAAAGTAACCATGAGATTCCAGAAATCATCAGCTACGTTGAGTTCATTGTGGAGATTCGAATAAAAAAACCTAGACTTACTTCACAGTAGTATGATCAAACTATTCCCAGAGTGCTGCTTGCCTGTAGACATGTTCACAATGCTCGTTTGTATAAACTATAATTCTTTTTGAAGCTAATAAAACATAACAAGCATCTAAACTAAAGGCATAGGATATACGCTACATTTAATTAATGTTTCCTTATCACCTTTGATTCAGTAAAGCAGAAGTTTGGTCGAGCCTTCTCTCTCTCCTCTAAAGTCAGAAGTTTTGGCTATGGCGCTGGAGTCTTCCAGGATCACAGTGACCAACATTTGCTTGGTTTCTCCAAGTTACAGCCCGGAGAATGTCGATCTGTTGGAGAGGAAGAAGCAAATGCGTCTCTGTGCTGCTTCTCATATGATTTGGTTCGTGCCTTACAGGACTCGCCTTCTCTTCTTCCGAAAGCCTCCTCCCCATCTCTCCTTCGGGGCCATTGTAGCAAATCTCAAGAGTTCTCTTGCCAAGGCGCTGGTGGAGTTTTATCCCCTGGCAGGGAGATTGCTTGTGAGTGACAGCGAGAATGGACTCCGGATGGATGTGGTTTGCAATGACAAAGGCGTGCTCTTCATTGAAGCCAGTGCTACTGGAGTTACTGTTGAGGAGCTCGCAAAGGATGAAGTGAGTGGTCATTTCGAGGGGATTCCAGCAAAACTAGTGGAAGATCTGGCACAATGTGGAGACTACGATATATTGACAATTCCATGGTCCTTCGATGCTCCTCTGTTCATCATCCAGGTACTTCAATATATATCCGCATTGATAATCAAGTCGAATCGTATGTAGGTGACAGAGCTTTCTTGTGGAGGCATTTGCATCTCCATCAAGTTCAATCACCAGCTTTTAGATGGAGCTGGGACCTGGAACTTTGTCAAGTCATGGGCCGAGGTCTGTTGTGGTAAATCTATGTCACTCAAGCCCGTGGTCGTGGAAACTCCACCATGCATTGCGGTCTCGGACGATCATCCCACAGATTTTGAGCTTCGAGCAGGGTTTGAAAGGGTCTGCAACGCGGATTTACTGAAAGTAAGCACCAAGTCAACATCGCAGTCCGCGGAGTATGACATGAAGTGCTTTGCATTCAAGAAGGAGATGATCCAAAAGATGAAGCTCGAGAATCCAGGGTTCAGCTCGTTCCAGCTTCTCACGAGTTTCATATGGTCCAGAGTTAACGCTGCGAGAGATCTCAAGGATGACGAAACCACTACTCTTTTATTTGCAGCAAACTGTAGAGGACGGATCAAGACTGTGCCGAAGGGATTCGTAGGAATGGCCGTGGTGTATGATCACGTTTCCACCAAAGTCTCGAGCCTACGAGCTGAGGGAAATGAGCTGAGAAATGGGGCGGATCTTCTCAAGAAAAAGATCGGTGATTTGCTCACGGAGGAAGGCGCGGGTCTCTACTCAAAGGTTGTGAGCAGTGGCGACAGGGGCTTCACAGCTTTTCCTCAATCTAAGAGGGAAACAGCATTGATCGTTGGAAGTTCGTTCTACTTCCCGGTTTTCGAGGACTTTGGATTTGGAAAGCCGGTTGGAATGACGCTGGTTCGTCCTTCTGAGGATAGCAAGCTATACTATTTCCCAGGGAAGGAGGAAGGTGATGTGGTAGCATATATTGGGCTCACAAGTCACGCGATGAGAAAGCTTAGTTTTCCACAGGTTTGAAACAATATAAAGTTGTCTCTTTGCCCCTCACCGCGGGACGGCATGGAAATCAAGGCGAGGATCTTCGAGACAGATGTTTCTGATGGTACCGTTATTGTTGACATGCACGGGAAGCTCCAGATAATGGATCGGGCCACCGCGGCTTTTGGCTGGATGAAAGAGACGAATGCTGTCTCCTTGACTGCTATGTTCCCAGAATTTGCCCGGAATGGGCATTACAGAGGCGCTCTCGAGCTCCTCCATGGATTTGGAGGGAGTCAAGCCAAATGGCTTGCCATTTTTTTTTTCCTGGAAGCCTGCGCCGGTCCCGGGAATAGAATCTGCTGTAAAATTTTCCACTCCCGAAATCGAGGGAATGGAGCTTATGCGCTGGGGAAATGCGGTCACGTTGCGCGATGATGGCGGCGTATGCCCAAAACGGACAGCACAGGGAAGCGCTCCGAGTCTTTAGCGAGCTCGACACGATGCTGGATCGCGAGCGTCTTGGAGGCGTCCTCAAGTTTGGCCATGGCTAGAATCTCGGATCCTTGCTAGTGGAATTCGCGTGAGCGTGATCGTGGTCGTCACCACTTACAGAAAGTGTGGAGCTCTCAGCCTCGCGAGATCCACGTTCAATGGCCTGTGCTGGAACACGATGATCTCCGCCAACGTGCAGCACGGCAACGCCAGGAAGTGCTCAAGCTCTTCAACGAGCTCAAACAAGCCGGGACTTTGAGCGAGCACTGCTGCATGATCGATCTGCTGGGACGAGCTGGGGGATTTGAAGAGGCTGAGAGAGTGGTTGCTCCATGAAACGCAATGTCCTCTCCTGATCATGAATGTCGCCTCTCAATCACCAAGTCCTGGATAAAACCAGGGCATGGCATTTCGTAGTTCGATATAAGCTGCGGCAAATCCCCGTCACTTGTGGTCGTGGAAACTCCCCTGGACAACGAGCAGAGCTGGAGATTTAGCTCCCGCCGATTTTTCATGCGGTGGAAGATTAGAACTTGTTCACACTATCAACGCCATGAAAAGCTTCTCGTTTGCCCAGGAGTGAGATTCCACGGCAAAGAGATGGAAGACCCCGTTCTTCTCAGTCAAGTGCTGTGAAAGCTCTCCAACGCTGGAAACTATGACTCTCAGTTGGAGATGTACGCTTTCTCATGACATGAGGAGGAGTTGCCACCTCATAGATCCACGTTGGCTGGAGTTGAGTAGATCAGAGCCACATTGTCCACACGACGCTTCCGCTATGTTTTGACACTCTCGAGACTGTCATGTTCAGGACGGCCTCCATAGACATGCAAGCCACCTCTATATGAGCCATGACTACAGCGCTCTAGGCTCGCCGTCATAGATTTTGTTTTAGTGCAGACAGGGTGTGACTGGCGGAGTCTTCTAGATCCTTTTGGGTATGTCCTTGAGAGCGTTCCTGGCTGAAAGATCCAGCTCTCTCTCCTCGCCACCGAGGCACTGGCGATAGCTTCGAAGGTAGTAAACGCAGCTGCGATTGCAAGAGCAGTCATCGTCACCGAAGCAGTAGTGGACACTCTCCTCTCGAGCTGCTGTTTGGACTGAGAAAATGAGGAAGATCGCCATCGAGATCTTCATCTTCGCCATTCCTGGTGGAAACCTTAAACGAGAGCACGAAACTCTCGAAGTTCACACTGCCTGGTCCTTAGAAACTCTCGAATCGAAATGAAAGAACAAACACTCTTTACTTTTATGGTGTATCCACCACATCCAAGCACCGAGAACCTTTCACGTGTTCCAGCGATTCAATACTCTTCCAGCAGTGTAATCGTCTTCCAGCTCAAGCAGACACATGACAGGTGCTGCAAGAAGACAAAAGAAAACGATGTGTCACACTATAATCTTCTATGCTAGCTCCACGTTGTTCCTGATAAGTTTGCGATGGATAGAGCACCGTAGCTCTGCTGCTGCTAATCCATTCCCTGCATATTTGGAGGCAGGTTCGAAAACAGAAGATAAGCTGAAGCTTGAGATTGCTAACCCCACTTATTGCATTAATGGCTTCAATTGATATTTGTAACTAAATTTAAGACACAATAGTTTTATATTAGAAAATTATAAATTCTTATTTAAATAATTTATAATAGTTATAAACAAAAAAAATGTAGTTTTGACCAGAAAATATGTAATTGTTATGTTTAGTTCTTATTTATGACTAAATTTTAAGTCCAAAAAACAAAGTTATAAACATAGTGGTAAAGATGGGAATTTAAGTCATTATTTATGATGATATTTAAAAATAAACAGTTTTCTAACCAATATACATTTTTTCCTATTTTAGAAGCTTAAAGGTGCTCTTGATAAATACTATCTAGGTCGTGGTGAATGAATGCAAGTATATTTTTTTTATGTCAGTTTTATTACTTTATATTATTTGTTGTTTCATATTTGCTAGCTTTTCTTATAAGAGAATGCATACAATCACCCACAGCAATGGAATTTACAAGGAACTCATCAATCTTCAGCATTTCCTTTATAAAACGTTCATGGTAATGGATTTAAATGAACATTTTCCTTTGGTTTCTCTCATTTGTCATTACTCTGTGTTATCAAAAATGGATACAACCACCTTCTTTATTTTCCTAAGCCAAGCCCAATCTTTAGCCCATTCAGGGTATAATACTCTTAATGCTTTTCGCAGCTCCAAATTTTCCTCCAAGAAGAATTTATAAGATAGGTAAAACCCTAAAATCACCAGGGAGAAAACTAAAGGCGTAGGATATACTCTACATTTAATTAATGTTTCCTTATCACCTTGATTAAGTTTGGTCGAGCCTTCTCTCTCTCTCTTCTAAAGTCAGAAGTTTTTGGCTATGGCGCTGGAGTCTTCCAGGATCACAGTAACCAACATTTGCTTGGTTTCTCCAAGTTACAGCCCGGAGAATGTCGATCTGTTGGAGAGGAAGAAGCAAATGCGTCTCTGTGCTGCTTCTCATATGATTTGGTTCGTGCCTTACAGGACTCGCCTTCTCTTCTTCCGAAAGCCTCCTCCCCATCTCTCCTTCGAGGCCATTGTAGCAAATCTCAAGAGTTCTCTTGCCAAGGCGCTGGTGGAGTTTTATCCCCTGGCAGGGAGATTGCTTGTGAGTGACAGCGAGAATGGACTCCGGATGGATGTGGTTTGCAATGACAAAGGCGTGCTCTTCATTGAAGCCAGTGCTACTGGAGTTACTGTTGAGGAGCTCGCAAAGGATGAAGTGAGTGGTCATTTCGAGGGGATTCCAGCAAAACTAGTGGAAGATCTGGCACAATGTGGAGACTACGATATATCGACAATTCCATGGTCCTTCGATGCTCCTCTGTTCATCATCCAGGTACTTCAATATATATCCGCATTGATAATCAAGTCGAATCGTATGTAGGTGACAGAGCTTTCTTGTGGAGGCATTTGCATCTCCGTCAAGTTCAATCACCAGCTTTTAGATGGAGCTGGGACCTGGAACTTTGTCAAGTCATGGGCCGAGGTCTGTTGTGGTAAATCTATGTCACTCAAGCCCGTGGTCGTGGAAACTCCACCATGCATTGCGGTCTCGGACGATCATCCCACAGATTTTGAGCTTCCAGCAGGATTTGAAAGGGTCTGCAACGCGGATTTACTGAAATTAAGCACCAAGTCAACATCGCAGTCCGCGGAGTATGACATGAAGTGCTTTGCATTCAAGAAGGAGATGATCCAAAAGATGAAGCTCGAGAATCCAGGGTTCAGCTCGTTCCAGCTTCTCACGAGTTTCATATGGTCCAGAGTTAACGCTGCGAGAGATCTCAAGGATGACGAAACCACTACTGTTGTATTCGCGGCGAACTGTAGAGGACGGATCAAGACTGTGCCGAAGGGATTCGTAGGAATGGCCGTGGTGTATGATCACGTTTCCACCAAAGTCTCGAGCCTACGAGCTGAGGGAAATGAGCTGAGAAACGGGGCGGATCTTCTCAAGAAAAAGATCGGTGATTTGCTCACGGAGGAAGGCGTGGGTCTCTACTCAAAGGTTGTGAGCAGTGGCGACAGGGGCTTCACCGCTTTTCCTCAATCTAAGAGGGAAACAGCATTGATCGTTGGAAGTTCGTTCTACTTCCCGGTTTTCGAGGACTTTGGATTTGGAAAGGCGGTTGGAATGACGCTGGTTCGTCCTTCTGAGGATGGCAGGCTATACTATTTCCCAGGGAAGGAGGAAGGTGATGTGGTAGCATATATTGGGCTCACAAGTCACGCGATGAGAAAGCTTAGTTTTCCACAGGTTTGAAACAATATAAAGTTGTCTCTTTGCCCTTCACCGCGGGACGGCATGGAAATCAAGGCGAGGATCTTCGAGACAGATGTTTCTGATGGTACCGTTATTGTTGACATGCACGGGAAGCTCCAGATAATGGATCGGGCCACCGCGGCTTTTGGCTGGATCAAAGAGAGGAATGCTGTCTCCTTGACTGCTATGTTCCCAGAATTTGCCCGGAATGGGCATTACAGAGACGCTCTCGAGTTCCTCCATGGATTTGGAGGGAGTCAAGCCAAATGGCGTGACATATATTGTCTTTCTGGAAGCCTGCGCCGGGGATAGAATCTGCCGTAAAATTCTCCACTCCCGAAACCGAGGGAATGGAGCTTGATTTCTTCGTCAGAAATGGTGGTCTCGGCTTATGCGCTGGAGAAATGCGGGCGACAGCACAGGGAGTCTTTTGGGAGCTCGACCTCGAAAAACACGAGCGCCTTCGAGACGTCCTCAAGTTTGGCCATGGCTGGAAGCCTCCACTCTCGGATCCTTGCCAGTGGAACGCGTGAGCGTGATCGTGGTCGTGACCACTTACAGGAACTCTCAGCCTCGCGAGATCCACGTTCAATGGCCTATGCTGGAACACGGTGATCTCCGCCTACGTGCAGCACGGCAACGCCAGGAAGGGCTCAAGCTCTTCAACGAGCTCAAGCAAGCCGGGGAGCGGCCAAACAGCATCACTTTGAGCGGCTGCATGATCGATCTGCTGGGAGGAGCTGAGGGATTGGAGGAGGCTGAGAGAGAGGCTGCTCCATGAAACGCAATGTCCTCTCCTGATCATGAACGTCGTCTCTGTGAACTTCAATCACCAAGTCCTGGATAAAACCAGGGCATGGCATTTCGTAGTTCGATATAAGCTGCGACAAATCCCCGTCACTTGAGCAGGTGGTTGTGGAAACTCCCCTGGACAACGAGCAGAGCTGGAGATTTAGCTCCCGCCGATTTTTCATGCGGTGGAAGATTAGACTTTGTTCACAACTTCTCACTATCAACGCCATGAAAGGCTTCTCGTTTGCAAACCAGGCGATTGGGTTTCCAAGGAGTGAGATTCCAGAGCTCCTCACGGCAAAGAGATGGAAGCTACCCCGTGTTCTTCGCGGTCAACTGCTGTGAAAGCTCTCCAACGCTGGAAACTATGACTCTTAGTACGCTTTCTCATGACATGAGGAGTTGCCACCTCATAGAACCACGTTGGCTAAAGTTGACGAAGGCAACGATATATCAGAGCCACATTGTCCACACGACGCTTCCGCTATGTTTTGACACTCTCGAGACTGTCATGTTCAGGACGGCCTCCAAGCTACCTCTATATGAGCCATGACTGTCCACACTATGCTTCCACTGTGTTTTGACATGGTATCGGCCTTGAGGGCGTTCCCTCTTGGATGCTGAGCGCTGCTATTGCACAACATCAGCACCTCCGCCTGTGTGCCCCGCGCCCAGCGTCAAGCACGCCTCTGGTACAGCGCTCTAGGCTCGCCTCTGTCCCATTGCCATAGATCTTGTTTTAGTGCAGACAGGGTGTGACTGGCGGAGTCTCCTAGATCTTTTTGGGTATGTCCTTGAGAGCGTTCCTGGCTGAAAGATCCAGCTCTTTCTCCTCGCCACCGAGGCACCGGCGATAGCTTCGAAGGTAGTAAACGCAGCTGCGATTGCAAGAGCAGTCATCGTCACCGAAGCAGTAGTGCACACTCTCCTCTCGAGCTGCTGTTTGGACTGAGAAAATGAGGAAGATCGCCATCGAGATCTTCAACTTCGCCATTCCTGGTGGAAACCTTAAGCGAGAGCACGAAATTCTGGTCCTTAGAAACTCTCAAATCGAAATGAAAGAACAAACACTCTTACTTTTGTGGTGTATCCACCACATCCAAGCACCGAGAACCTTTCACGTTTTCCAGCGATTCAATACTCTTCCAGCAGTGTAATCGTCTTCCAGCTCAAGCAGACACATGACAGGTGCTGCAAGAAGACAAAAGAAAACGATGTGTCGCACTATAATCTTCTATGCTAGCTCCAAGTTCGCTCTGAGTGCCTCCGATAAGTTTGCGATGGATAGAGCACCGTAGCTCTGCTGCTGCTAATCCATTCCCTGCATCAGCTTATCTTCTCTTTTAAAACCTGCCTCCTTCAAGCTTGAGATTGCTAACCACTAGCCCCACTTATTGCATTAAGTTGCAATAAAACATTTATTTGAAGAGCTTATGACAAACTTAAAACTAAATTTTAGTTACCTCACATGTTGGTTTAGTAGTAACTTGCACATTTAGAATACTTAAACACACAAGCAAAATAGAAGCACTAACCACTTTATAAATAGGTAATAAATTGTTTCATTCCCATGTAACCATTTTGTGAAATAATTAAATACATTATAATCCTCAATAACTCAAATTAATACCACAATCATCTAAAATTACTGAATTTTCACCAATTTAAAATATTTTACTGAAGAAGTAAGGTGGCAGAAGAATATTTTACGAATATTTCAATTTAATCTTTCTATTGAAAACCATGCATCATGTGGTGCTCAATGATGTTTACCATAAAAATAAATATGATATATGATAATATGTATAAAGAGAACATGGTTTCCTTCACACCTTAAACACTAACATGTAAGTTTCATTTCTAAATCTTAAACAAAAGGCTTAATATAAGTTTGAGAAAGAAAATAATTTATTAATTTTAATAAGAATACAAAGTCGTTCAATAAAAAATTATGAGTTAGAGGTAGGCACATTATATTGCTACTAGTAATTTAGTTGATATATAATGTTTAAAATTTTGCAATTATAACACTTTAATAACTAACATTTTGTCCATTACATAAAATTTTAAATTGCAACTCTAACTCTAGAGACATATTTAAAATTATCTAGTTTTAGAGAATATGTTGTAAACTATAATAAATTATGATATATATTTCAGTTGTAAAGAACAACTCTATTTTTCAACTAAATTTTGTGTGAATATACAAGCTGTCACAAATTACAACACAAAATTTGTAACTAAAGCCAATTTGCAAAGTGAAATTTATAACTTAAATTTACAATAAACACAATAAAATCGTTGAAAATATATATAGAGTTGCTACTATTACTCCCACTCCTGAAGGAGATGTCGTTTATGAATATGGCTGCACGTCTTTGGTTTCCTCCTGGCTTTCGTCCTTAACCATGCTATGAGCAGAGCACTATCCTTGTTGTGGATCAGTTCATGTAATGTCCGTTCGGCCGAAAGGAGTCTTGATAATTCTCCGTGACTTAGACCGGCATTGTTCTTCGACCGACTTCTTGTTCTTCGTCTTCCTCGCCCTGTTTCTTATGCAATCCATGGTGGTGATGCGTTGAAACGAAGGACCATCTCTTCAGTCAAAGGTAGCCATGAGAATCCAACTGGGAATCATCCGGAGATTTGAATAAAAACACCAAGAAAAACTGGGCTGTGTGCTGCGCTTGGATGCACTGAGATCTGCTGGGTAGCTTGCTGGGTGAGACTGCTGGGCTGGGGGCAGACAAGGTGTGACTGGCCGAGACTTGGATCAAGAGGATGGAGTCTTCTAGATCTTTTTGGGTATGTCCCTGCTCTCTCGCTCTGCTATTTAGGTGTGGATCACGCCCTGTGACATGATCAGAGAGCCTTGTGTGAGGCGTCACCTTAAGAGGGGGACGGGATGAGGATGGAGAGGCTTTAGAGAGGGAGACTTCCAGTGTTTCGACCACGACATTTTCATATCTGATTAAGCGAGAGGGAGTGTTGGAGATGTATGACCTCTCATGACATGAGGGGTCTACGTGTCACCACCATGCATAGAGTATATATATAAGCAAGAGCCATGACAATATATCAAAGCCACATTGTCCACAATACAGCTATGTTTTGGCACTCAAGGCTGTCATGCTCCAGATGGCTCCATGGACATGCAAGTGTCTACAGTGTGATAATATAGTATGTCGTTTGGTAATAAATTGTCATAGATATTCCAAGCTTCTGCCACTTGTAAAGTCTTGGGATACCTACTTGGCAACAGTTGAAATCCAACCAATTTGGAGTCCACTGGCTCTAGTAACTTTCTCCAAGGGGAGCTTCCTAGAAGACAGTAAATCTTTTAATATGAAGGTCTAAATCCAGATGTTATGAGCAATTTTTCCTAAGAAAAAAATGTATTCAAAATTCTTATCTATTTCTATTTTCTACTGTTTACTTTGTAATTGTTATTCAATAGAAATGTTTATTTATAATAGACTAGGTGGTGACATTGATTTATCTTGTGACTCTGAATCTAATGATGTAGTTGGTCCAAATATTATAGCTGATAGAAAAAGTTTACATTTTAGTTTTGGAACACGTTGGGTTTTTGGTCGAACTCAATTTTGGTGTCGTTTAACTAATATGAATGGGCAAGTATCAAGAAATTTTAATGTTTATACACAAAATAGTAATGAAGATTATGAAGAAGCCTTAATTATAGAATATTATGTATTTGATTATGGAATTTTTGAAACTCACATACATAAGAATAAAAAATTCTGGTCTCTACTTCAGAGAAAGTCTTCTCCATTCTAGCTATTTAAAATAATGGCTTTATGTAATATTTTAGTAATATTTATTTTTGTGAAAAAATCATATATTATCATTTTAATAGTTGTAAACATTTTCATTGATGAGTATTCTCTATTCCTTTTTTTTTTTTTAGAAAGCCTGTAGGGGACAGGTGTAATAAATAATTTTAGAAAATCTAAATATATTCTAAGATAATTCAATAAAATTTGTTGTGATTTTTACATAAAATTTATACTCTAAATATTTTTAATCAAATTTCAATCCTTACTTATAACTAGAAAATGGAACTATTGATTTACTTGTAAAGCTTCATCTTAACTTCATTATATTTTCATCAAACACACCTCAACTTTATTCCATGCTTCTACATTTCCACCATTATAAGCAAACTTGCCCAAAAAGAGTGGATGACACTCTTTACATTTCTGACTTAATATTTATTTACTAAAACACTTAGAGAAGTTCTAGAAGTAATAACACACTAATTAAAGTAAAAAAATGACTATTCATACTTTATAGACTAACACCATTCCCTATAGTAGCAAGTCATGTTAGTGCCATGGACCCTCCTTTGACAAAATAATCCTTCTTTGTGTTGTGGTAAGAGGAGGTAAGCTTTTAACAATCAATAAGCTCTAGATTGGATTAAGTTTCTCTTACAAATCAATTGAATTTAGGTTTAATCTCACTCTACCCCCTCCCACACCACACTATTTTCATCCTTAGTAGCATAGAGAGCAAAACATAATTGTGCTAAACTATCTATGATGTAATCCGTCTCTTGAGGGGAAACAAAGGCTACTATATGTGTTTCTATGGATTAATAATCTAGTTTGTTTAGATTAATTTATAAGTTTGAAAATAGAAATTGATATCAAAGATATTAAATAGTCTATAAATTATGTATTAAACACCAACATAGCTTAACAGTAGGATTAAGATTTTTTACTTTTAATATTTAATCTAAATTAAAATAAATTTTTTATAAATATAATATTTCTAAGACTTGGATATTTAAATTTCAAAATACATAAAGCAAACCAAGTGTTGCTGCTAGGATAATAAATTTTTTCCATAAATTAGAGTAAAGAATTCTTAATAAGTTAGCTTTCTATTCAAATCAAACATTCTTTCTGTATGTGTATATTGCATACTTATTTATTGTTTAACAAATTTTTAAAGATTATATACCCTTGAATATTAAAATGTGTCTATATATGGTAAGTACAAGTTTACAAAGATCTTTCCAACTTTGAGAATTGAATAGACAATGCCTTCTACATCTAAATGTATTAATAGGAAATCTTTTGCACTAGTTAGACCTTATGCTCACTTATAGAAGTCCAATTGTGAAATCTATGGTAGATTAAGTATAGAAACTGGTCTAAGCCCTTGTTTATTCCTATATTTACAAATGTATTAAGCTATAATTTTTATTAAATATATTAATCTAAGTGCATAAAAAAGGGTTTAGGGAATAGCACAAGCAAGATATTGTGCTAATCTTGATTCATCCCATTAGAACTTACTATGGTGATTCCAACTTCTAGTCATAAAAGTTCAATATCTAATTCAATAGAGGAAAGGAATAGAGGAAAAGATGTTTTTTATAGCATGGTTGTAATTGAATTTTTGAACAGCAAACTGCAAAAGGTGCCATAAATTGTAATGAATTTAGACTAGTTTTCTTCAAATATAAATTATATATTGGAAATATAGTTTTCGAATTATAGTTGTTATAGTAGTTATTACATTCAAAAAAATAAATAAAAACCATACATGCTATATATAATATCTAGTCCCAATGAAAGGATCTATAGTTTATTTTAACTAAGAGGGTGATGGGGTTTCTTATGGATGCTAAGGCTGATGGTGTGAGGAGATACTCATGGAATTTGAGTTGGTAGTACAATATAACCATCATTTGAAGTTGATGCCAAATACCACTCCAGTAAAGTGTTGTGATAGTAGTAACCATCCTCCTAAAGATTTGGTGGCTGTGGGCATACTCATGGCTATCTATTGAATGAAGAAAAAGAATGTTGAGGTCAATATTAAGTCTTTCTATCCATTTCTTGCAAGCATGCCACCATCCAAAGTCTTGAGTAGTCACTGTGAAGAATCATGATTTAAAGATCATGCAAGATAGCTACCATTATTTTTACCATAGGCTTACCTATAAGTCATGATTTCTTTCTAGATTTTAAAGATTTTTCTCTATTCAAGTTCCTCCATTTGTCTTGCTTTGGGTTAGTCTTGACAGTTTAATTCAATTCCCTTGAGTCATTTGAGGCTCTTGTATGCTCTTGATCTTTTCTTCTTTTTGACCAAGATGCCACCTTTAGGTTCTGTGGCTCAACAGCATGATAGTTGCATCTTTGTGGTTCTAATCTCTAGATCTATAGCACAAGGGCTATAATTTCTTGATCTTTTCCATTTTGTGGTGCCAAGATTTTAGTGGCTACATCTTCTGAGTGTGGCATTAGATTGTTTTATTCCTCAACTTGTTGGAAAGTTGTGAATCTCCTCCTCCTTTTTTGACGAGCTCAAGTGCACTCAATATTCTAGGAGTTATGATTGTTTGTGTTGCAACATGTTGCCTTGGTTTTCTTTTAGTCCAATTTGCAACAAAATAGCTGCAATTTTTCTTCACTAAACTTCATTTTTCTTCTTGCATTTTTTTTGCAATTTTTTTGTGTATCTTGTTTGTGATCCTCCTTTCTTAGCTCTATCAGCACTGGCATCGATTCAGGTGTGGGCACAATATGAGAAAGGAGGGGGATAAGTAGCTAGGATTCTAGCTAACAAAGATGGATGGCCAATAAAACCAACCATAAGTGATTCATCATACTAGCAAAGGTTGGTCTAGGGAACTTGAATGGGTACCTTTGCAAAAAGAAATTCCTAATTCTTCTTCTCTTTCACTCAAGCATAGGCAGACAAAACTAAGTCACTATGGCTTAATCCCCTTGTCCTTAAAAGAGTACTTTAAACTCAAGCTTAGGCTTAGGTTTAGACTCATGCTAAGGTCTATAAGGCAAAGGACTTAACCATCCTGGCTAAAGATAGATACCATTACTTTTACCAATAGTGATGGCTAATCTAAAATGTAGTGTAGTATATAAGTTAAGACCTTATTTATAGTATACTTTTTGCACCAATCGTGGCTTTTTTCTATATCTCAAATCTTTCTGTGTATCTATAGGTTCTAGTGAGGAGTCTTGATAATCGCAAATCCTCACAATTGTCATGTTGACACATCATTCCAAAGTATCCCTCCATATTTAGAATTCTTTCCACAATGTGATTTCCATTGGGAATAACCTTGTATCTAGACCATAGATCTCACAAGAATGGATGTCAAAGTCTTGTTGGAAGAACATTTGATTTATTTACTAGCTTATTTGAGGTTGTAGAGTAGAACTGGAGTGGCATTTGAGATATTGTTAATGACAGTTATCTTAGTAGTAGTTTCCCTTTTATTGGAGTTATATTTCTATTCATGGATTTTTATTTTTTATATTTAAATCTCATAGATTTTACTCAAGTTGTTCTTTTTAATTGTTTATAACAAACTTCACACCCTCATTAATAATTGCTCTCTCTCTCACACACACAAAGGACATTATCAATCTCAAGATATCCCTTAATTAAATAGAATAAGAGGTTTAGACCTTTTTTATATAAAATGTAAACTTTTTAGTTAAGACTTTGTGGCACTTCCTTCAATATTGGAATTACATAGATTTTTTAAAGCTATTCCTTTTAGTTACTTCAATCTAACATCTACACTAGGTAGGCCTAAGACTGTAAAGAGTCTAGGTAATGTTTGTGGATGGACATTGACTTTTAGAGATGAAATTAATTTAGGAATTTAATCTAGTTAATTGGAAGTTTTTAAATGATATATTTATGTCTGAATTCGCTAGTCTAGAAGACATTTTTGACGAAAACATGTTTTACTTGTATTCCGCACCCGGGGAATTACAGATCTGGGCACTCTAAAGAGCATACTTCACAGATCTCAAATGTGGATAGCAGTCGAAGGACGTCTAGTATTTCCCAAGAACAGAAGTTAATTCTGGCAGCGGTGACTTGATCTTAAGCTTGAGAGCGTTCTTGGCCAATAGAGCCTGCTCTTTCTCCACGCCGCTGAGACACCGGCCATAGCTTCGAAGGTAGTAAACACAGCTGCAACCGACAGAGCACTCATCATCCCCAAAGCAGTAGTGGACACTTGAGATGTTTTCTTCTCGAGCTGCTGTTTGGATTGAGAAATAAAGGAAGATCACCAGTATCAGAACCAACATCCACATCGCACTCTTCCCCTCCTTAAACTTGGCCATTCCTGCTGAAAACCGCTTCTCCCTTTTCTCCTCGGAGACTCTCGAATTGAGAAGAAAAACAAACACAAGAGCTCTCTCTTACTTGATGCCGCCGCTGTTGCCTTCTCCGGCTTTCTATCCCTCAAACTTAACAAGGCATCCAAAGTGGGGTCCTGGAAAGAAAGGCTCATCTGTTAGAACAGTTTATTCAAAGACGTAATAGTCTTCGAGCACATTGTAAGGCAAAAAAATGTGTCACATACCATCCAACACGTCTCTGCAAACCGGGGGGCCGTCACAATCTATACGAGCTCCACGCTGTTCCTAAGGCTTTCGTCTTCTTGCATGAGAAAGAGAGAGAATAAAAAGAGTGTACCTTGGGAGATGGCTTATTATTTATTTCGCTGGAGAATCGCGAGAGCCCTCCAGTTCCAAGGATAATTCTATCACAACATAGATGGTGTTGTCAGTCCCACTTAAAACAAAAGGTTTCTTATAGACGCTGCTGTTGCCACTGGATCCCACCAGGAAGTGAAGGCACTGGACTGTGGCGATGGAGACAAGCCGAGGAAATGCCGCGGTGTCGCTGTGACAACTCGAGCTTCGCTTTCAAAGGAGCCCAGAAGTTTTCCAAAAGGATATGAGGCAGTGATCTTCGAGGAGTTGCGTGTAAGTCCCAGGCGAGAGCTCCAAAACCTGCGTGTGATCCGTAGAGGGTCGTCGTCGAGAGCTGGACAAAGTTTACGTTGCTTTTCTGGCCACCACCATCGCCACCACTGCTGCTGCTGCGGCATTGGTTTTTTCTCGCGGGCTCGTCCGGCTGGTTGGATTTAGTCGCGTTGTTTTCGGGAGTGTCGTGTTTGCGGATGTTGGCTGATGGTCGAAGGCGGTCTAGAAAGCGAAGAACTCGATTCCCTACGCTTTTGCCTGCATCTATGTCGCGCTGCTGGACGGTTCTATGGACTCTGAGAGCTACATCAAAAATCCCTCGAGCACGCCTGCAAAGCAAAAAAGCGTTGGAAAAGAAAGACTTCCAAAAATCAATAACGAAAACGAAATGCTCACGCAAGAATCAAGCAAGGGAATGCTTGCACTCAAATTTACAGCGCAAAAATAAGAGGCCAAATCTAATTTCAATCACATAAGCCAACTATTCAACTAGACTAATTAAAATAACTAGAAATTTGCTTTGAGCATCCATACCTGAAGACGAAGGCGCGGATCCTTGGATGCTTGGAGAGGAGGCGGCGCTGGAGGCGCAGGACGAGGCGATAGGTCCTCTTGAGCCCTAAGCAATAGGCTGTCGCCAATGTGATCTCCCACAGCACCATTAGGACATCAAATAGAAGTGAAATGCCCTAAGTTCTTGAGGATATTCTAGGTATATCATATGATCAAACGGTCAAACCCTTAACTATTCTTAAATTAATGTTTTCCAAAATTACTAACTGAGATTAAGATAGCTGGATAATATTTTATTACTTTTCCGTTATTTTTTTCTTAATTTGTTTTTAATTTTTAATAAAGGGATAAAACAGATATCCATTTGGTTTAGGGTTCTTTTTTCATTATTTATCTGTTATATTTGAAAATCGGGACAGATATTTTGAATTATTCCTGCTCGGCATTCCATCATAGAGAACGAGAGCGTAGCAGAACCTGGAAAGCCAGCCCGTGATGAGTCACCCAGGAGGAAAAAGAAAATTAAAAAAACAAAGTATTTTGCCCTTGAATCTAGAGTTCTCGCAAGTGACCGAATATCCAAATACACAAACCAAGTGCGAATATATTTATAACACGAAACTTAATCTAAAACAGTAAAAGCCGTTCTAGAACATACTAGCATTTGTCTTGGAATCATCTCTCACGAAGACAACGCTCAAGGAGCAGCAACATCAATCACCGAGATATCGTGTGGGGCGAGCTTGGCGACTTCCACAACACCAGCGGCAACTTTCCTGTCCTGCTCCTCCTGTTCTTCGTCAACATAGTTGGGACCCTTCTCGTCAATCGCCACGGGCACTGATTCCTTGTCATACTGCGTGGGATCCTTGTTCCCTTCCCAAGTGAACTCGCCCCCCTTGCCGCCCTTCTTGGGCTGCGCCCTGACCCCCACCGGTCCCCCGTGCCTGTTCAAGCGCTCCACACCCTTCTTGGCGTTCTTACGGTCGGCGTATTCAGTGCCATGGTGGGGAGCATTGGGCTGGTGATCCTCACCTTTGAGATCCTCCACAATGGGGCTCTGATCAACCACATCTCTTGCCTCATCCATCTCCCTCACCAGCACAAAACAAGCAAGGGTATGAGAAATTGCAGTGCAATGGCGAAACTCTTATTAACGTTTTCGCCTCGAGTGACTTTTAGTTAGTTCGGTTGAATGCCAGACATCTGGATGGAGCGCTCCTGCGGCCACGTAGCCTACATGTGGCGACAACAGGTTTCTAGTTTATGTAGATGTTAGCAAATCAGATACGCTAAGGTCCTCAATTCAAACCTCAAACCTGGGTTCAGAGCTTAAGCTTAAGATATTGTCTAACAAGTTGATATTGTTGACAGCCTAGATTCTCCACAGTGCAATGCATTGATAAATTACTGATGTAATAGTAATGTTAGAAAGGTTATAAGTGTCTTTAAAATCTTAGCTGAATGCATGCCACCCTTTTCCTTTTTTTCAGATGGACTATCGTTGTCAACGAAGTGGCCATTGAAGATTGTGGAGGAAAACTTTGATCTAAAGAATCGTCTTAGTCAATTTTGCTTCATTTCTCAATTAGCCTTTTGGATATTTTCTGGTTCCTAGGCATTTCTTACTTGTGTTACAAGAAATACCTCACAAGTTCAACACAAGCTGCTTCTACACTTGTAACTGCGTGACAACATGCTACTCAATATGGATGACGAGGCAAGGAAGAATTTTTCCTCATGTCATCATCTAGATTGAGTGGCATCTTGTTGAGTAATATATCTTCCATATGAGTCACTACTGCACACCACAATCCATAGCACGGTGGTGTGAATTTTGGTCAAAGGTCAAGAGCCAAGCCTCAAGTGGCGTAAATACAAATAATTGCTTTTCCAGCACGTTTAGCTTAGGAATAACTATACAGAAAAAACAATGTTTCTAATCATGTCTGTGGGTTCTGAAGTATATTATCTTTTGTCCTTGGGTGACATGCTCCATCACAAAGACTTGTGAAATTAGGCGTTGCGCAAAATATAACGCCTATAAATGTAAGGCACTGCTACAGACCTGGGTTCTAGGCAGTGCAACAAACTGTAAAGTGCTATTGCCATGGGCTGGTAGCACAGGTGCCAGACTTTTCTTCTTTGAAGATATGGGATCCGATCATTTCTGGCCATATCCAAGATAAACGAGTATCTTGAGTTTGCTGGTCACCAACTTGGATCAAAAGAAGAAAAAGCTGGTAGTGCCAAATGAACTTTACAATTTATAGGAGATTGAGAGTCGAAGAGGGTAAACCTACACAAATGCATAAAGAAACTGCAAAATACCAAAAATACATACAATTTTTATAAAAAGTAAAAGAACTAGAGCATATTGTAAAGAGAAACTACTTCTTTGTTATCATGTTCTTGGTCTGGATGGTGTAGTTGGTCATCACGCTAGTCTCACACACTAGAGGTCCCCAGTTCAAACCTGGGTTCAGGCAATTTTATTTTTATTTTTAATTTTTTAGTTTTTACTGTTCCAGTTTTTGAGTAACAAGTTTTGTTAGCTTGGATTAACACGATGCCGAGCGGCGATGAGGTCCTCGATGCTCTTAGACCAACTTTACTCCAGCGATGATCGTGATTTCGAGAGTGTGCTTAGATTTTCGATAAGTGCCAAAAAAAGTGTTTATTGACCTCTGATTCCCTCTCTAAGCTTCAAACTTGAGGTATTTGATGGCGCTCTGGACATCCTTGTCACCCCGACCACTGCAGTTCACTACTACCTTGCAACCATCTTCCAGAGTCGGGCACAGAGTCTCCAGAAACGCTAGAGCGTGCGAGGTCTCCAGCGCAGGGATTATACCTTCAAGCCTTGATAACCTTTGGAAAGCTGGCAAGAAACCACACCAATCAATGGCCGGCCATCGCTAGAAAAGTATAAATGCTATTCACCTTCCAAGGCCTCGGCATCTGTCACACTGTGATATTCCGCGCGGCCCATGTCCTTCAAGAAGCTATGCTCCGGCCCAACACCAGGATAGTCCAGCCTGATTGCGACACAAGCGAGAAGAAAAGAATTAGCGAGCGAGCTTAAAACGATCTAAGTACCCGGCGCTGATAGAATGTGGCTCGATGATCTGGCCATCTTCATCCTGTAGCAAGTAGCTCATAGCTCCATGAAGAACTCCTACTTCTCCCTTGGTCAGTGTTGCCGCGTGCTTGCCACTGTCCAAGCCAAAGCCAGCAGCCTCCACTCCCACTAGCCGGACATCGTTGTCGTTCACAAACTCGTGGAACAGGCCCATGGCGTTGGAGCCACCTCCGACGCAAGCTACGAGCACGTCCGGCTTGCCATTCCATTTTTCCAGAGCTTGCCGCCGGGTCTCCTTCCCGATCACGGTATGGAAGTCCCTCACCAGCATTGGATATGGATGAGGACCAGCGACAGAGCCCAGGATATAGTGCGTCGTTTCGACATTCGTCACCCAGTCTCGGATAGCTTCCGAAGTTGCATCTTTTAAAGTAGCAGTGCCCGAGTGAACAGGCCGGACCTGAGAGAAAAACAACACCACCTTGTTGAAACTTGATAACCATGTCTGTGACTTTACCTCGGCACCGAGGAGTCGCATACGGAAAACGTTGAGAGCTTGCCTCTCCATGTCTTGCGCACCCATGTAGACGACGCATTCTAATCCAAATCGCGCACAGACAGTGGCGGTGGCGACTCCGTGCTGGCCGGCTCCAGTCTCGGCAATAATTCGCTTCTTGCCGATGTGTTTTGCGAGCAAGGCCTGGCCAACGGCATTGTTGATCTTGTGAGCACCAGTGTGATTTAGATCCTCTCGCTTGAGATAGATATCTGGTCCAGTGCCATTGGCATTCTTGTAGAACTGAGTCAAGCGCTCCGCGAAGTAGAGAGGTGTCTCTCGACCAACATAGTCCTTGAGAATGCCGGCCAGTTCTTGCTGGATTCATGCAGCAACACTGTTAGAAAAACTAGAGACAAGAAGAGCCAGATCCAACAAGAGAAACTCCATCTCAAATGCATATTCTATAGAGTGATCTAAAAAGCAAGCAAAAAAAAGAGCCATCACCGACCTGGAATTCGGCCAGTTCTTGCTGGAATGCAGCAACACTGCTAGAAAAACTAGTGAACACAGATCCAACAAAAGAAACTCTACCCCAAGAAAATGGGTGTTCTATAGAGATGAGCAAGCAAAAAATAAAAAATAAAAAAACACGATCACCGACCTGGAATTCGGGCTTCACAACGAGCAATCGATAAGCGGCCTCCAAATCCGCCAGCGCCGTCATGAGCGTCTCCGGCACATACTTCCCACCAAATTTTCCAAACCTCCCAAATGCGTCCGGCCGCTGGAATCCTCCATACTGCGCATTCAACACCTCCTCCGCGGCCATGGCTCTCTCTGAGATCGCGCAGCGGGCGCCTACCGGATTGCGCCGCGGAAGCTCGATCCTCGTCGATCGCTCCACACTCGCGCTGAGCTGATTGGGAGAGACGAAGAACTGGGGGGTGATCGCACGCATCGCCATAGCTATAAACCCTAGCTCAGCCCTTCTGTAGCTGCATTTTACTAAATGGTTGTTTTGGCGGGAAGAGATTTTAGGGCGGATGGCGCTTGAGAAGATCGTCTCGGCGTTCACGCGCCGGATCTCCGACCTCCAGGAGCTCATGGTTCTTCGCGGCGATGGTAAGCGCGGCGCCTAGATCTCTCTACTGCTTGTTCGTGAATTTCTTCACTTTTTTTCTCTCTCAGGAAGAGCCGCAGACATGAGTGCTGTGGATGTTTCTCTCAAGGCCGTGGAGCAGGATTTTCGCAAGATGGATAGCTATGTGAAATCGGAGATGGAGGCGCTCAGCAAGGCCAAGGTAGGAGAAAAACAAATTCGTTTTCTTCGGCTAGAACTCTTGGAAAACTAAACTGCGTGTGTTCTAGGCACTGTCGGAGCTGACAATCCAGCAAACGAGGAAGATTCAAGCTATTGTAGATCATTTTCCATCAACCTTGCCCGCTGCAGCGCCATCGGACGCGTTGAAAAACAGGTTTTCTCTGCAAATTTTCCTTCTTTTCTCTGCTAAGAATTTTTTTTCTTGGCAGATTGTTTCCTGTTCCTGAGAAAGCTGCTGCTCACACCAGCAACATTCTTCCTGTTCAAACGCAAAATCCAAAGGTTTGAAAGAGTGATTTTCATCGTTTTGCGTTCTTATGCTGGTTCTGCAGGTGGAGAAGGAGAAGAAAGGGAAAGGTTTGCCTCCTCGGAAGTATGTATCGGACGAAGAGTTCGCATCGTTATCAAGGTTGTCTATAGTTTTTTTCCTTCTCTTTGTTGTGAAAGCTTCTTTTCAGCTATATGAGGGGAAGGATCACTCTCGACAAAGTCAACTCTGCGATTGATGAAATGGCTGGATTTGCTGAGAACAATCTAAGACTAATACAGGCACCAAGAAAGAAGGTGATTCCGATGACTGAATGCTTGCATGCGTTCTTACAATTTCTTTCTTCATATGCACAGCTGGGAGACGATATCTTGGAGAAAGTCCTGGTAAGTCTTTTGTTTGATTTCCATCCAACATTTTCTCGTGTTTCGTCTAGGAACTACGAGATATTGCTGGAGCTGAGACGATCAAAGGGAAGCATTTCTTCTTGGAGTCCGACATGCGTGGTCCATTGTTGAAAATGGACACAACGGGCAAAGCTATCCTCACGGTAAAAACTCCGGCATTTAAACTTAAGAGGTCACATTTTCTTTTAGATAATCCGGCATCTCGGCCGTGTCCTGGAAGCTCGCATTGGAAAACAGAGAGTGTTTGCTCTGTTGAGCTAAAAGCGATCTGGAGATTCCAATGCTTTCTCTTAATCGAGACGTTTTATTTCAGGTAACGTATAGCTCGTTTTCTCTGTGTTTCTCATCCAGCTTCACAGGAAATCCGAGATCTAGCTCTGCATTGAGTCGCAACACGTACATCCTCTAAAGGTATCAAACTCGAAACAATCGGATTCTTTTTTTCTTTTCGTTTTCGCTTCTATTTACAAGCGCGCTACCATCGTTTGAGAAAAAAACTCTTTAATCTGTTCTCGTGACTGGACGAACTAGAAGCAGTGGCAATCTTCCTGGTCAGTAACGCCATCACCATTTTTCCCAAGCTCAGCTTTTTCTTACTCACCATCTTTGTAAGTTTTAGCTCGTCACTCTCCTCGCCGCCATTCTCGTCCCCAAGCTTCGCTAAAGCATTGTAAGCAGCGGTCCCAGCAACGCCGCCGGCTCGCGAGATGTTCCTCAGCATCCTTACCGCCACCCGCCGTCCCTGCGGCGGCGGAAACGACGATAGAAACCGGAGAATCGCCTCCACGTCGCCGAGCCTGCCGCCGTGCGTTGCGCCGTACGCCTCAGCCAGTATCTGCAGCGCGTCGCTGGCGGCGTCCCGCGCGGCATCCGTACCGGACAGTACGAGCCCGAGTAGTACCGCCACGGCACCCTCGGACAGCCCGTCCTCCTCGGCTATAGCGGTCCGGAGCTCGGTCACTCCGGCGAGATTCTTAATGGCGCCGGCGGCTGAGGCCTGGGCCAGCGGCGTACCGTAGCGGCATATCTGGACCAGCGCCGCCACACCGCCGTGTGCCGCCAAGGAACGCGCGTTTTCGGGCGTGTACGTCAGGCAGTGCAGCGCGGATACCGCGCATTCTTTCGCCAGCCCGGTGCCCGACTCGAGCAGCCGGACCAGCGGCGGCAGTGCATTCTCGGCTATGAGCTCCTGCTCGCAGCATGACGCGCGGGCCAGGCGGTATACCGCCGACGCCGCCCTCTCCCGCACGGCGCACGGCATTCCAGCGTCGAGCAACCGGACCAGCGCTGGAATCCCTCCCTGCGACGCCACCAGCACTGCATTCTTGTCGTCGCCCTCGAGGAGGTCCACGATCGAGGCGAGCGCGCGGTGCTTGGATCTGGGATCCGTCTCGATCTGGAGGCGCACGACGAGATCCCGCACCGCCCAGCGCAGCGCGGATTCGCCCGAGATGACCATGGATCGCGATCGCGACGCTCGCGAGCCGGTGACGAGGAGCAGCGCCGCCATGGACTCCTTGACGAGGCTGTTCTTGATGACAACGTCGCAGTCGTGGATGTGGTGGTGGAATCGCGCGGCCAGCGCGTCGAGGGCGCTTTGCATCTGGAGCTTGCCATCGATCTGGCCGGATTGGAGGCACTTCCGGGCGGAGATCTTGGCGTCCTCGATGGTGGCCACCATGGATTCCAGCACCTCCGTGCACAGGGAGTAGCTCTCGAGGAAGAGGAGGGGGCATTTGGACATGTCGTGGAGCTGCGATCCCAGCTTCTCCAGCCGGAACTGGATGATCCGCCATCGCCCCAGGAACGTTTTCACGGAGCTTGCCTCGTCCAGCGCCGCCGCAATCCGCTGCTGTGCTACCTCCAGCAGCTCCCGCGCGGAGATGGAGCCCATGATCCTCCCAGCAACCAGCATTCCTGGATCGAACCGTGCCTTGGCCCCGGGACAAAACTCCTGACCATGCTTTGTTTCCCTTTGCGTCGATCGCTCCTCGCTCTCACCGAGAGAGGAAGAACTTAATAAAATACGAAAGAAACACGCGAACAACAACACCAGACGTCGTCTTGCTGCTCCTGCGATCATAAATGAGGATCGTTACGAGTCGGGTTTCATGATCGTCAAAGCAAAAGCGGTAATCACCACCACTCACCACCCCCGAAATCCCCAATCCTCCAGACTTATCATACAAAAAGGTGGCATTGTAAACACAACAATTACAGAAAGGTGGCATTAGAAACCCAACTCATCATGTTTTGTGCGTGGGCCAGTCTACATGTGAGTGCAAGCTGAGCTTGCCCCCACCCAAGAGAGCATTGTAAAGAGGCTTTTAGGGCATGAGATAAGAATTCCCATCTCTCTCTTCCTGATATATCTGCAAAAATGTTAGTGCCTGCCTGGAGCTGGAGCTGGAGCTGGAGCAGAAAATACCCCATTCAAAATACAAGCTGAATGCTGCTCTGGAGCTACCACTTCACATGCTCCTTGACCAGAGAGGTCTTTGGGTATCTCAGAGGTAATAAAGAAGAACCTTGGAAAAAGTGGGGACTGTGGATTGGCTGATCTGAAAAGACCTGTGACATTCTGAGTACCTTGCCTTGCTTGCCTTGCTCAGTTGTCTCAAAATCAACAGACAGCAATATTGCCATCGATTAGAAAAGTTGTTGTGCTTCTAAGATTGTCCATTCTTTTTTGCCCAATAATTTCCAGTCTACAGAATAAAATCTGGAAAGTGAAATTTATAAATTCTATTCACATTTTATTGTGTACCTTTTAAGAAAGAATATATGAGGCCAAATTGGAACAGAGAATAAGGAGGTAGGGTTCGCTAGCTTCCCTATCGTGGGATACACCACGATCTGTGTAGCTCTGGATCCCAAGAGTAAGATTCTCACCCAGTCGTAAGAAAGATGAGACAACCCGAGAGTCAAGAGGAGGCCAAGAAGCAGCCCAGGGAATCCAGGAGAAGCTGCCCATTCAATTACAGCCACAGGCAAATTTACTGCAGGTTTAGAAAAGACATCAAGACTAGCATTCTTTTCTAGCTTGATATGCTCAAGAAGGAGATCCAAGAACTTGGATTCATGAAGCATGAGGTTCAGCGTCTTAAACGAGCTGCTGATACTCATGTTCTTTATGATGTTCTTGACAACATCACAACGAAGCTGTCCTATGCTGTAACAAGGTTGAGTGCAGAGGAGCTCCAAGTACTTGATACGAAGCTCCGGTGTGAGTACTTTCAAAGTCTCTTTCCGCACAAATATTTACTCGGGCAGGACGTAACGAAATGTTTAGAGGACTGTGTGCAGGCGGATGAGGATCCTCAACAGGCCAAGGAGCATGGAAAGGAGCAACAGGTAAATGCTGAAGATAAAGGCCATGGTCAAATTGCTGGAGCAGTTACAGGCCCAGGAGGCTGACCGGAAAAAGAAAAGGAGGCACTTCTTTTATCTGCAAAAAGGATTGTCTCAACGGAATTGCGAGTTCCTGTCTCTTCTTTGAGGAAGACTGTGGCTTCATATGTCTTGGAGCTTAGACCTCAAAGAAACAAGCCAGTCCATCGGTATTAGCTTCAGTTAATGAGAGGAAAGTACTTGACACCAATATGCCTGCTATGAGAGAGATGGTATCTACATGTTGGAAGACTCCACCTATGCAATCATCAGATACAGTGATTGAGGATGTGGAAGGCTTGCAGGACATTGTGGATTTCTCTTCTTGGTTGAGTTTGCTTTTGCAGCATTGGATGTTTGGATAAGATTACAGTGGAAGCGGTCCTGCAGATTCTAATTACCAGATTTTCAGGGAATGTTATACTCCGGTTTGCTTGTGAAGAATGGATGTCCATTTAATCAACTCTGGAGGACACAGATTGCAACTGATGATAAGTTTGACGGTTGGTTGATTTGTGATGATTCACATTGTATTTGTCTTTCTCGGAGAGGTGAATGGATCAACGAAAAGCACGAAGTTGTGCTTCATACTTTTGATGGTTGGACTTTGCAAGATGATTCTATTATTATTATTATTATTATTATTTTGATGTGATTATAATTTTATTACAAAAACAAACTGATTATCCTAAGACAAAGAAAATCTTCCCTTGAAAGAGAAGAAGCTGACGATGTCTAGCATAAGTAACGAAGAAGATGATGCAACAGTGATGCGCACGTTACGATCCAACAAAATAATTCAAGCGGTGATCTTCATCCTGGTAAGCTCGATCTTGAGCTTCCTCGGATGGTACATTCCATTCCGCCAGTGGCAAAAAGATTCAAGCTGTCTTCCTCATTCCGCCTGCTGCCTAGAAAGAAATCTTCCAAAGGGCGTTTTTGTTTTTCTTCTTTTATTCAAGCAAAATAACTCAGGCAAAGGTTAGGATCTAATGCAGCAATCTGGAGAGGTATGGTTTGGTCTTTCTAAAACACTTTGTGTGTCCTGAAGGTGGTTGATGTCTTGACGGAGTCACTTACAATCAAGGAAACACCAATTCTGACTAAAGTTGCGAGGGTTATACTTGTATCTGATATACTACATAACAGCGAAGATTACCATGGAGAGTTTCAATGAATAGGTTTGGTTGATTTGTGATGATTCACATTATATTTGGCTTCCTTGGTGCATCAACGAAAAGTATGAAGCTGTGCTTCATACCTTCGATGGTTAGAGTTTGCAAGAGAAGTAATTTAGGATTTTAAATTTTTTGTTTGATGTGCTGGCTCAACATCGTTGGATCTTAAAAACAGCTGTATGGAGAGGATTGTATGGAAATGCAGATGTTTCCACAAAAGTTTGAATTCTTGACCCGGATTGCCACATTAGTAAAATTTGAATTTCATGCCCGGATCCAGCAAAATTTGAATTTCATGCCCAAAATCAGCAAAAATTTGTGGACCAAATCAGCAGTATGGTCATTTTCCCTGAACTTTATATATTTTTTCTTATTATATAGAATTAACTCAGGTAAATTTTATCAGTTAGAAGAAAATTGATAAAAAGGCTATAAATCTATGTAGAAGAACTTACTGCATGCCACCAGCAACTCCAAATTTACAATGCAGTTTTCTCCTGTATTTGAAGTTTTTCGTACTTTATAAATTTGCTGAATTTTTTAAAAGTGGGTTGCTTTATCTGGATGCCCGAGATAAACCTAAAGCTTAAAGCCTAAACCCTTATAAACGTGTTCCTTTGAAAGGAATATTCTTTTGCAAATGAATCTTTGGTTTTTCTCATGATCAAATATGACATTGTTAATGCATTTCCATACAATTCCTCATCCGGGAACTCAGAAGTACAGTGTTCACGATAAAATATGATCCTTTAGAGCTTCGGGTGTTATTTGTCCTGTTATATTATAGTCATTGAAACTCTCCATAATAACTGGTATTCTTCACGGGATGTTATGTAGCATATCAGATACAAGCTTAAGCCTCGCAACTTTAGTCAGAATTGGTGTTCCTGACGCCTACATGACGCCTACATGAAATTCAAATTCCTTTTTTACAGATCAAACCATACCTCACCAGATCGCTGTGTTTTGGGAGACCAAGAGAGATCCTTGATCTACAGATACTAACCTTTGCTTGTAACATGCCATGTATGCCCGTTATGGCCCATCACATGTATGAGCATCATGACCATCATGAATCCATTCAAAGGCCATTCATACGGTGGTTTAGTCCTGGGTCACTGCGGCCTGTGTAAAGTAAGACCCGTCTTGGTTTTTGTCCGCAGGGTTTTGCAATCCTTGTTCGGTTCCTTGGTTGCCTATTTCAGCACATTGAGGGAAATATGAAAAAAAATAACATGCGGAAGGGTATAGTCTGGAAATATACCCTATGTAGTTTGCCAGTGTGGGATGATCAGTTTGTCTTATTGTAATCACATCAAACAAGAAATTTAGAATCCTTTGTTACTTCTCTTGCAAACTCCAACCATCGAAGGTATGAATCACAACTTCGTACTTTTCATTGATCCATTCGCCCCTCCGAGAAAGCCAAATATAATGTGAATCATCACAAATCAACCAAGCATCAAACTTATCATCAGTTGCAATCTGTGTCCTCCAGAGTCGATTAAATGGAAAAGGCAGACGTCCATTCTTCACAAGAAAATCCCGGAACCGGAGTGCAACATTCCCTGAAAATCTGGTAATTAGACTCTGCAGGACCGCTTCCACTGTAATCTTATCCAAACGCCAGAAAGTCCAATGCTGCAGAAGCAAACTCAACCGAGAAGAGAAAACCACAATGTCCCGCAAACCCTGCACATCCTGAATCACTGTAGCTGATGACTGCAGAGGTGGAGTCTTCAAACATGTAGATACCATCTCTCTGGTAGCAGGCATACTGGTGTCAAGTACTTTCCTCTCATTAACTGGTGGATGAAGCTGATATCGATGGACTGACTTGTGTCTTTGACCTTTAAGCTCCAAGACATATGAAGCCACAGTTTTCCTCAAAGAAGAGACAGGAACTTGCAATTCCGTTGAGGCAATCCTCTCCGCAGATAAAAGAAGTGCCACCTTTTTCCTTTTCCACTCCTGGACCTGTAGCTGCTCCAGCAATTTGACCCTCTTCCTTTCCTGGCCTTCATCTTCATCATTGACCTGCTGCTCCTGCTTGGCCTGTTGAGGATCCTCATCCGCCTGCTAACATTCCTCTAAATATTTCGTTACGTCCTCCACCTTCAAATCCCAGAGAATGCCAGGGTATGTGACTGAGAGTAGAGTTTTGCGCGGAAAGATACTTTGAAAGTACTCACACCGGGCCTTCGTATCAAGTGCTTGGAGCTCCTCTGCAATCAACCGTGTTACAGCGTAGGACAGCTTCGTTGTGATGTTGTCAAGAACATCATAAAGAACAAGAGTATCAACAGCTCGTTTAAGACCCTGGACCACATCCTTCATGAGTCCAAGTTCTTGGACCTCCTTCTTGAGCATCTCAAGCTCCTGTCGCTGGAAAAGAATAGTCTCGATGTCTTCTTCAATCCTGGTTAACCGACCTTCAGACACAAGCGGTAAACCTGTTCCTGTTCCCCGTGGCTGTAATTGAATGGGCAGCTGCTTCTGGATTTCCTCCTGAATCTTGGGCTGCTTCTCGGCCTCCTCTTGAATCTCGGGCTGTCTCACTGTTTCCTCGGGGCTGCGGATTTACCTCTTCAATATCATGGAAAGATCATCTAGTTTGTGACTTTCCCCTCTAGAAATTCTACGCTTACGACGGGTAAGAGTCTTACTCTTGGGATCCAGAGGTACATAGATCATAAGCGCCATGCCACGATAGGAAGCACGCCTTTCCTCGAACGAGCCAGTGGAATATTCGCTATTTTCTTGTCTTGTTGACAAAGCAAATTAGGGCTCTGTTTTTAGGGTTTATGCAATGAGGGTGAAGAGGCAGAAGCGCTACCGCAAGGCCGTGCGCTTCCTCAAGGCTTCGTTTGGCTTCCGGGAGCCCTTCAAAGTCCTCTGTGACGGTAATTTTCAGCACTCTGTCCTCCACAACATTCGCAAAGGCAGCGAAGACTTCGACAAGCTCTTGTCGCAGGCGCTGGGAGGAGCCGCCAAGGCGTTTACTACCAGGTTTGCGGTAAAATGTAGCTATCCACTGGAAGAAAAACGAAGAGAATTTCTTCTATCAGGTGTATCAATGCGGAGCTTAAAAAGCTTGGGACTTCCTTCTCGGACACTCTAAATGCTGCTCGAAAGCTTCATCTTGCCAAGTAGGAAAACTTCTTTCGTTGTTTTGTTCTTCTCGGTTATAGAGAACTTTGTTGGTTTGTTCTATAGGTGCGATCACGAGCCTGCAAAAGGAGGGAGCGAGTGCTTGGAGTCGCTCGTGGAGAGCTTCAATCCGGAGCATTTTTTTGTGGCAACACAAGATGGTGATTTACGCCAGAAGCTTCGAGTCGTAAGAATATTTTTCTTCCTCATTTCTCTCTTTCGAAGATCACGATTTCTGTTTTCTCTAGATGCCTGGTTGCGCTGTTGTCTACTCGAAGAAAACGTCGCTGTGTGTGGAACCGCCGTCAGAGTTCCAGCAGCAGTTTGCTAAGGAAGAGGAAAGCAAACGCGAAAGTTTGAAGTGTCGAGAGCAGCGACTTCTCTCTCGTGTCTCCGAGGACGAGGAACCTCCAAAGCGAAGCAAAAGTTTGATGGTGAGAGACCGGCCAACGTTCAAGAGAAAGCGAGCAAAAGTAAGTGTTTCTCGCTTCGTTTTAGTTCTTCTTCGCTAAGAAAGAGGTCATCGTCGCAGGGACCAAATCCACTTTCTTGCAAGAAAAAGAAACAAGTTCCAGAAGTAAGAGTTCTTTCTTCTCTAAGATGACAGCTAAACAAGAAAATGGTGTTGCAGGCATCAAACGATGGAGAGAGGTCTTCCCGGAAGAAAGTAAGGAGGAGAAATCGCAAGAAAAACAGCGTAAAAGAGGACGTGATCCATAAATCTCCTGCTTGAGGTACAAGGTTTTGAGGTGTTTCGATTTTTCTTTTCTACACAGCTCAAGTTCTAAAGCCCGCGACGACTAATCGAGATGGATCGATTTATTGAGGGCTCCATCCAAGAAAAAAGAGATGCTCACGGTTTTCTTCCTTCCATTCACGAGAGTGATCGAAGAATTCTTTTTTCTAAAGGTGTTTCTAGCTCACTGGTTTCGAAAGAAAAAAGAAAGTCCGAGAGTGCTGATAATCATTAAAACGCGCTTCTCTCAAGCTACCCGTGGTCGAACCATGGTGTAACCGTGGTGTGGCCATGGTGAACCGTGGTGTGACCGTGGTGTAACCGCGGTTACTGGGTGTATATATAATAGCCCTAGGAGCAAAAGAAGAGGTCAAGAGGAGAGCGAGAGGGGAGGTCTAGGCGCTTGGCGCTTGGTGATTTTGGAAGGAGATCATGTCGAGCAAGCAAGGTAATGCTATCGATTCCCTTCCCGATGCTCTAGGGTTGATTGATTGTGGAGATTGCGAGCGCTTTGTTTCCCTCGGTCTCCGGTTTAGATTCTCGGAAATTTCTCCCGTCTCTTCTAGATCTCGGCTGTTCTTCTCTAGCCCTTCGCATTGCCGCTCTAATGTTTCGATTGTCCAGGTGGGAAGTTGAAGCCTCTCAAAGCTCCCAAATCCGACAAGAAGGATTACGACGAGGTAAGAGAAGAAGATCTTTCTTCTGGTTGCGCTTGCGCTGATCGATCGTCGCTTGGGCTTTCACAGGAGGATAAGGCGCACATCGCGAAGAAGAAAGAAGAGGAGAAGGTAATTCCTTCCATGGCTCCTACTTATCTTCTTCCACTTCTCCCTCTTTTCTTTGGCAGGCAATGAAGGAACTCAAGAGCAAGGCCTCCGGGAAAGGCCCTCTCACCAGTGGCGGCATCAAAAAGAGTGGGAAGAAGTAGCCACGTACGGCCTTCGTACGGTATGGCTGTAAAATCCCCTTCCGTAATGACAAGCTAAGTCGCATTTTGTGTCGTCCTAGTCAGTTGCCACGTTGCGAAAAGTCCTGACGTGTTAAGGCCACGTATACGGGGTCTTCCTCCTCTATCTTCTTAATCGGTCCAATCAGCTGCCACGTTGCAAATCCACTCACAAGAAGATGACGTGTCACAGCATCCCGTACTGCCACGTAAAGGCTACTTTGCCTACTTGTCTTTTACCTGTAACGCGCTTCGTATCCACTTCTCTACCATTTGCTGAGAGTTCACGCCTTGATCGGCTGGGACTAGGTGCCCGGCGCCCGCAACTACAACGTGAGTGAGCGTTCCATAGCTCCTCCAATACCCCGCGAAGGATTTCCCAACTTTCCAGATCTTCTTCTCGGCCGCGAAGAACTTCTCCCGGTGCTCCCACTCGAGCTCTCGCATCCAGTCCTCGGAAGCAACCACGCCGTCTTTGATGTCGTACTGCCCCTGGTAGATCAAGATCGGGATCTCGAGCAGCAGCTCCTCGACCATCCACTTGACACTCTTCATCGTGTCGTTGGCCATGATCCTCCTCACCCGAGGATTGCAAGAGATCCACTGCGCCGAATCGTCGGCCTTGAGCGCCGCTTTCACTTCCTGGCGATTGAGGAACAAGCCCAGGAACTCGGTTCCATCCTCCGAGCAATGGTATGGAACGCTCCTTCTCACGTCCAGGACTGTTGCCAACCCGGTGACGTTCTCGATCCATTCCATGTACTGTGTTCTTAATTCGTAGCCGCCCTGCCAGTCTTCTCTCTCGATCGATGCCACCACCACCTTTGCTCGATCTTCCGCTTGGGATCTCTGGGCAGCATCGAGCAGACCAAAGCTATAAGCAGTGGCGGCGTGGCTCTGGACCTGGGTGATCGGATGCGTGAGACCATTGCCGATCATCAAGCCATCCAGCCGGAAAGGAGAAGAGTTCTTGGAAGAGTTCTTGGATAGCTTCACCAAGTAGTGACCAAGAGCTGGGACGTATTTTCCAGCGTAGCTCTCCCCGGCGATGAAGAAAGGCCGGTTCTTGAACGAAGGATCAATCTTGAAGAATTGGAGTAGAGCTTGATGGAGGTCTCGAGCAACCTCGTCTTGATTCACTGGAATATCATCGTCTTTCTCAGCGATGCTGTACCCTGTTCCTAGCGGATTATCGATGAAGAGAACACCAAACCTGTGATTCCAGGGCGCTTCGTTCCGGTGGAGCTGGAGATCCGGCGCCGTCCTCCAGGGACCAAATTCGTAGAAATTTCCAGTCATGCTTGAGCAGCCAGGGCCGCCTTGCAGCCACAGGATGATCGGCGTCGACGCCAGCGCCTCGGCAGGCTCGATTGCCTCGTAATAGGCGAAGAACATCTTGGAAGAGCGACCGAGAGGGAAATAGCCGGAGATTGTCGGCAGCGCCTCGGCCGGGAAGGGAGAAGAGACTTGATCATGGAGGAATTTGAAGGGATAGAACGCTCCTCCAGCTACCGCTGCCAGAATCACAGCCAAAGCGGAGATCATCGTTCGGGGAAGAAACCCTAGCGACAAACAGTAAATTAAGGCGGATTGGAAGAATTAAAAAGCGGCGGGAAATCTCAACAGAAATTTAGGTTTAGGGTTCTTCGCGTGGAAACTACCCGAGAGATGGGCACCAATGGGCGGAGGTATGCAAGAAATCTCGATTTCTAGGCTTCGATTCTGATACTATTTCCTTGCAGCCACAGATCTCCCCGGCGCCTGTCGATGATCCACGAGGAAGCGACGAAGCTCGAGAAAGACACAATCAAGCTCGAGAAGGAGGCCAAAGACAAGGAGACGAAGCTTGCGAGCATCCGCGCCGCATTGGCGATGGAGCACCGAGTGCGAGAGGATATCAGGTAGTGTCCGGGACTTCCTTGGGCTTACCTTTGATTTGGGGTTCCCCAAATCTTTCGCAGCAAAGAAGCTAAAAGCAAGGGCTCTTGGTGGCATTCCCCACAGGTATTTTTTCATCACTATAGAACACTTCGTGATCGATTGAGCGGTCTTTTTTCTTTTTTCTTTTTTTCCAGAGAAGCAAATGCAGTGATTTGCTATCAAGATCAAGGTCGAGCACGAAACCATTACACGAGCTCAAGACGATTCGCAGTGGTTCTTCCTGCTCGTTAAGTGCGTCAGAGACCTTACTTCCACTTTGCATTTACATCTCAAATCTTTGTAGCTTTCCAGAGACGACTACCACCGAGAACGAGCTCATGAGCCGGATCTGCCAGGACATGACCATCGACCAAGACTATGATCTCGACAGCACCCGATATAACTCGTCGCTCAAGAGAGCATCCAACATGCTACTGAGCTCTTTTGGCAGCGATACAAGTTTCGAAGGAACCAAGCTAAGCCAGTCATCATCCTCGGCTAGAGGAACTCCAGGCTAGTGCCTTTTTCTGTAGATCGTTTCCACTCGATCATTCGGTCTGGTCTCACACCTTGTTTTTTCAGTCGACCTGAGCCCGAGAAGGGATCGGTTCCCGGTGGAGGAGCAGCTAAGCCAGTCGAGCTCGATGCTTACGGACGATCCCCGCTGCATGGGGATTCAGACAGACCATTTCTGTCCACCGTCAGTCATGGAAAACACTGCGGCTCCTCTTCCCCCGAAGCGTGAAAAGACTTACTTCGAGCACGTAAGTTTCCTCTCCTCTTTTGGTTTTAAGTTTGTGTTTGTTTTGGCAGCTCGTTGCGCAAGCTCACATGATTCCCAAGAGATCCCTGTACGAAACAAACATCTGATAATCAGAAAACGTCAACAACAGTTTTGTACCTACCTGGAAGATTTCGATCCTGGCCAATCAAAGCCGCCTTTTAAGTGTAGCTTGTACCGCTCGATGTAGCTGACAGCCAAGCTCGGTGTCAAGTTCTTGAGAAGTATGTTCACCATCTACTTAGTTTTTAGGAAAGATATTGTCGTTCGAGCTCGATAACTGGTTAAATGCTTGCAAGATCTTGTAACGAAGCAAATGTTTCCTCTAAGAGAAGAACTCTGCGATTGTAGTACAGCTGCCAGCTTATCGAAAAACTTGGAACTCGAAATTACTTGCCTGTTTGATCGTCGCGCCTGCCAATGCCGATGGAATGACCTGTCAGCGGCTTTAAATGCTGTAAACGCGGCGATTTGCTCCTCACCGCGTGCAAATTAAACTCGCCACCGTTTTAACTTGGATGCACAGCTTGTCTGAAGAATCATCCTTTCAGGGCCCAGTTATGTCGTCCCCAACTGTAGCAGCACAGAGAAACCTCCTCGTTGCGACACTTGTGCTTCTTCTCGTAGCGATTTCTAGCGGGAACACCAGCAGCAAATCACCTGTGGTATGTATGAAACTTTTCCAGCTTACCTGAGATGTTTGAAGGTTTTCCAGAGCAAAGGCGGGATGTTTCGCCAAGACTATCGCGATGTGAATCCAATCCCTCGGCCATGGCTACCACTGAGACCAGGACCAATCGTCTTCATAAGGCCCGTTCCTCGCTCTCCTCCACCTCCAAAAAGTTCACTCTCGCTTCCGCCGGCACCGAGTCCTCTCCCGGGACCACAGGGACGTCGGAGGACCAAAAAGACGTTGCCAGGCTCACGAACTTGACGTCTTCACCAGTCAAGTGTATCAGAGTTTCCAGTTGTAAAGCCAACGAGTGATTGCAGAGCCACCCTCGCTCCTGACTTGTAAATGCCGTCCAATGGATTCTTTGGAAATTCAAAGTCGAAGTTTTCTTCTTCGGGCTTGAAAGATACCGAGTCATGCTGGGACACCTGAAAGAGCTTGCCTGGACAGTCGTCTTCCAGCTTGAAACATAAGGAGTCCACCTCAAAGAGCTTGCCTGGACTGTCGTATCCTTGGTTGTATCCGTCTTCTTCTTCGTCTTGGATCTCCGAGATATCAAACCGTCCAGCCGATCTGAGTTCTTCTTGGATCTCCGAGATATCAAACTGTCCAGCCGATCTGAGTTCTTCGCAGTCTGAATGCCCCTTGTCTTCAAGCTGTGAATCGCTTCCATCTATCGAATGCAGTCCCAATGTATCCTTCGTAACTTCAAAGCTCAATTTTTCTTCTTCCGGCTCGGAATATAGCGACGAGAGTAAGTCCTGTTGCGGCACCTCGAACAGCTGGCCTGGACTGTCGAGCTTGTCTGTCTCGATACTCTGGCTTGAGAGATTTACATTTGGGAACCGTCCAGCACTCCATGCCGATCTTGTCATCTCCTTGACATTCCAGGTTTTCAGTGCTTCGTAGTCTGAATCTCCGTCGTCGTCTTTGAGCTGTGAATGACTCTCAACATGCCCATCCCAATCCGCACTATTGTCATCCGAAAGCCCGGAACTCCACGCTAATTCCGTCATCTCCTTGATATTCCAGTTCTTCAAGGCTTCGAAGTGAGAATCCTCTTCGTCTTCAAGCAGTAAGGGACTTCCAGGTTGAAGTAGTTTATGGCCTTTTTCCTCGCACGAGATGGCCGGATTAACAACGTCCAGCCTCCTGAGCAGTGTTTCGACTCTGGGAGGCCTGGAAAATAAATTAGCTACCAACGTGAGCAAAATCAACCCAATGTAACCTTACCCCTTAGATTTGGAACTCCGAGATGATAGTTCTTGGAGATGATGTTGGATTCGCGTGAATATGTTCTTATAGTTGCCCGTGTAGATTGCCCCTGTGCATAGTAGTATTTAGAACAAGAGAAAAGCTAAAATCTCCAAGAACTTTACCATCATCGCTTTTACTTCCCCTTAACATTCCATCTGTCGAGGAAGGAAAAGGTCAAAACATTAAGTACAATGCTGAAACTTATTACCATTGTGTCTTAGCGTATGAGTTGGAGAACTTAAATCTCGATTTTCTTTGGAACTTTTAAAGTAGATTTCACCTTAAAACAGACTCAGGGTCAATGAGATTTCTAGATCACACCTTAAAAATCTTACCATCATCCTTGTGACTTCCAGTATTTTCTGGACACCATGAAAAAATTACAATCCTGAATAATCAGCAATCTTACCTTCGTAGCTTCCCTTGTAGCTCAAATCTGGGAAAACGAAGTGAGAGCTAGAATTATAAAACAATGCTATAAGAAACTACCATCATTTTTGTCGCTTCCCGAGTCGATTGTTCCTGGACAAAAAAGGATACCGAGAATGACGCAGGAACAATAGTAAAAGCTTACGATTGTCTCGCTCTGGGGTGTGTACTTCTGGCAGACACTGCTGGAACCGTTTGAAGAAACTAAACTCGGACGTCCTCGGCCTGTCGAAGAAGCTCGAATTCTGGAAACCAGTCCTTCTCAATTGCCGCGTCTTGTTCCTGAATGCTAACCACGTAAGAACGAGCCAAGCCAGACCATAATCTCACTTCAAGCGCTTCTTCTCGCGCGCGCGACGCGATCGGAACCCCTGAATACCAAAATCAAGGAAGGATCTGAGACCTGCAATGCCAGATGCGCCTACATTTTGCGACGCGGAGGAGGAAGACGATGCCGATGACGCCGTGCCAAGGCTCCGGATTCCCATTGCTGAAGAGCCCTAATACTCTGCTCCACAAGGCCCTAAAGCCCTGATTTTTCCCGCCTTGTTTTCGAATTTCCCGCCCTAGGTCTTCTTTGCGCGCGATGGCTGGCAGCAAGAGTCAAGCGCCTAAGCCTCGCAAGCGCGTCGACGCTGCTGTGGAGCTCAAGCGCGCCGCCGATGGAAGTGGATTTGTTCGCTGGTATGTGTTTTCGCGACGATTCTATGGAAGCCCTAGTCTCCAATCGTTCTTTCTCTATTCAGCGAAGAATGCAAGAAGGATGTGCCAGTTGCGGTGGCAGACATGCATACATGCAGTAGCTTGAAGGTGCCCTTGAGAGGTGAGCGAAGATTTTGCTTTCCCCCCTTTTCTTGGTTTTCATCACGCTGGTTTTGTTAGTTTCAAGTGCGCCAGAGAGGAAGCCGATGGAAAAGCAAAGTAAGAAACGCAGTGGTGGTAAAACAGAAGAGAAGAAGCCGAAGAAGCAAGCCAAGAAGAGAAAAAAGGACAGTAATCTTCCAAAGAAGCCAATGACGGCGTTCTTCCTCTTCATGTAAGACTTCTTTCGTTGCTTGAGTTGTTTCGAGTTATTTCACTGTTGTGATGGTTTTGCTCTCAGGGAGGACTTCAGGCAAAAGAAAAAGGCAGAGAATGTGAAGGGCTCTGAGGTTGGATGCTGCGACATTTTTTTTTCATCATGCGAACTTGGATGTGTGTTTTTTGTTACAGGTAGCGAAGCTTGGGGGAGAAGCATGGAAGGCGATGACACAAGAGGTCGTGAAAATATTGTCTTTGTTTTTCTTGACTGATTGTTTTCCTTTTTCCAGGAAAAAGCTCCTTACAATGAGAAGGCAGCTCAACTGAAACGAGAATACGATGCTGAAGTTAAAAAACTAAATGCTGATGACGCTTCCGAGGTGAACTTTGTATAGCTTCATTACGTTATCTTGGTCTGATGACCCAACTGACAGCCGAAGGAGGACGATGGCGGTGAATCCGGCAGGGAGGATTGCAGAGTCATGAACGAAGAGAACGGCGATGAGTCGGAGAAGGAGAATGGAAGCGGATCGGCCACTGAAGCAGAAGAGGTTTGAATAAAAAACTCCAACTTCACATCTACTTTTAACTTTTTTGTTTCTCTGTTTTTGCAGTAGCTAGTTGTTTATGCATAGCGTTGTTAAATATTTGATAAACCAGGATTTTTCGCTGAGCTTGATTCGTTACAAAGTGATAAAAGAATATGAAAAAAATGAGAAAATCGAAAAATCACTTTCTGTACCGTAGGACCATAAAGAACAGGTCCTGCCCGCCTCTAGAGACCATACTACGAACAGCATTGGAAGGTTCGTCCGGCTGTTTATCAGTATAACTCATTGATTCTTTTTTATTTCTCTCCAGCAGTACAGAAGATTTGTGGCTGCTTAGGAAGAGCAGTCAAGGTCTTTACTGTGACTTGCCGTGTCATCGCTGGAGTCTGAGGTCTTATTGTCGCCCTCTAAGGTTTGCACTGGAATTCATCGCTGATACATGCCAGGTGTGAGCAGGCAGGCATGAGAAATCCCGGTATTGTTAGAAAGCTGGTTCTTCTGGCGTGGTTTCAATGGGGGGTAGCAACAGCAGCAGCAATTTGCGAGAGAACGAGCTGCGGTAATGTCACTGTTCAATACCCCTTTGGTCTCGGATATGGCTGTGGAAGTCCCGGCTTTGGGCTAAGCTGCACGGACTCTGTCTTGTACTTCAACAGTTCGATTGTGGGAAGCATCGACTACAATGGCCGAAGTTTGGTTTTGAGCTCCGGTGAAGGCTGCCCCTTGAGGAATCTTCCAACGGAGATTCAGATCTGTAGCAGAAACCAAAGAAATGACGGGAATGGACAGCAAGTATGTTTGCTTGGTTACAGTAGCTGCTGCTTGGAAAGAAACTCGTCATTCGACGGAGAAGGATGTATGGCTTACAGGGCGGCTGGAGGCTCGTCTTCAACAGTTAGTGCTTCTCTGGGTGATTTTTCGCTCAGGTGGCCTCCGGAACTACAGACTAGGTGCGACCCTTGCTATCGCGTTGGGAATGGACAGTGCGGCTACAATTCAACAAGTGATTTCGTCTGCTTTTGTGAGACGTCAAACACGACTGCAACTTGCAGTGTAACTCGTAAGTAATTATCATTTTCTTCCTTCTTCGCAGCTCACATTTGGACGTATCTCTGCAGAAGGCCAAACCAATGCTCCAATAATCATATCAGGTATATCAGGTAGTTTGATTTCTAAGATGGTTATTTCATGAGAGTGGCGACTTACATTCGATTGGCATGAACAGGCTCTGTCGCCATCGCGGTGATTGTCGTGGTTCTCGTGTTCGGAGTGAGCCTCTCAATATACTGGAAGTGGAAAAAGAATGGCCGCGAGAGCACGCCAGAGCCGATTTTCTCACTCGACGATCCCAGCCGAGATGTCGAAAACCTCCGCCAGATACTCTCCACGCGCAGGGGCGACCCCGCAAAGCTCTACACCTTATCCGAGATCGACAAGGCCACAAACGGTTTCGACAAGGAACACAAGATTGGCAGCGGTGGCTTTGGCACTGTTTACAAAGGACTCTTCGACGACGGCTCGGTTCTAGCAATCAAGAGAGCAAACCACACATCAAAGCAAAGCTCGCGGCACTTTTACAACGAGGTGGCCATCCTTTCACAGGTAAACCACCGCAACTTACTCAGGCTCATGGGTTGCTGCGTCGACTCGGACGTTCCCATACTCGTGTACGAGTACATTCCAAACGGGAATCTCTTCGAACATCTCCACAAGAGGCCGGGGGTTTTAAGCTGGAGCAACAGACTGACGATCGCAATAGAGACGGCCGAGGCACTTGCTTACTTGCACTCGGCTGCGTATCCACCGATCTATCACAGGGACGTAAAGTCGGCCAACATTCTCCTCGACAACGCCTTCACGACGAAGGTGGCGGACTTTGGCCTCTCCCGGCTGGTTCCCGTGGACGTGACTCACGTCTCGACCATGGTACAAGGAACTCCCGGCTACGTCGACCCGGAGTATCACCAGACGTATCAGCTCACGGACAAGAGCGACGTCTACAGCTTTGGGGTGGTGCTGCTGGAGATGGTCACGGGACGCAAGCCAGTGGACTTCGCCAGAGCTTCCAAGGACGTGAACCTCAGCGCCTACTCGGTGCCTTTGATCCGGAAGGGGCTGATCGAGGAGATCGTGGACCCGAAGCTGGAAGTGAGAGTTTCTGGCAACGCGGCCGACTTGGAGCTCCTGGAATCCATCCGAGCAGTGGCCAACGTCGCGATGGCGTGCCTGGCGTTTACGAGAGACGAGCGGCCGACGATGAAGAGAGTGTTGGAGGAGCTTGTGGCGATCCGGGGGTCGGATGGATTGATTAGGACGGAGTGGCTGGAAGGCGAGGTGATTCTCACCGAGAGTTTCCATCCCAGCGAGGGTGTCTCGTATAACAGCGGTCGGTCGCGAGATCATTCAGCGGAGATAACGGCCAGGTAAGTATATATAAATCAGTTTTGAAACTTCCACTCTGGCAACAGACTTCGTTCCGTGCAAGAAGGCGATTTTAGATATACCTATCGTCATACGTCTGAATTCGGGTCAAATCTTTGCCTAGCAGGAGCAAAGAACTGTAATGCCACTTTTCTAATCAATTTCAAATATCAATCTCCAAAGGATTGTAACAGATTGTAGATTATATGTCCCGTTACCTGTAGAGAAGAAGTAAAGAACCTTCCAGAATCGTGTGCTTGTCATCTGAAAGTTCTGACGCATTAACTGGCCATAAAGGTCTTTCATGGCGCATCCATTGCCTGAGCATAACAACGCAAGCTACCTCTACTGCTACATGACCAACACGATCTCACAAAATTCTCCAATATAACCCATTGCGCTGATGATTGTCACAATTGTCCAGGAGAAAAAATTCTGTCCAAGAATTTGCTGGGCTTCCTCCAGAGCAACACACATTGGTAAGGAATTTTCCAGCCTCCCCACCAAACGGATTCTTCCACGGCTGCCGCTCCCTAAGCCGAGGTAGCGCGTATACTTGCATGTCATTCGCCAGGCTATTCGTTTTGAACTGACCTTTATTCAATAAATATTCATAATGTATCCAAATTTTAAATAAAAACATAAGTTAGCTCGAATGGTGTTTGATAAGATCTTTGCTCAAGAAAATACATATAGTGGAACAATCAAAAGAGAAATACTTGTTTTACTTGCCTAGATGGGCATATATGGCTGTGGTTGCACGTGAGTGTGTGGATATGATTTTTTGTTTTTCATTATGGTAAGCAATTTGTGATTGTAAGTTTTGGGAGGAGGTACAACTGAAATATACCTAAAGTGGCCAGCTTGGCAAGTAATTTGTGATTGCAACTTTAGGGGGGAGGCACACCTCTTAACAAAAGAGGTTTACATAGCTTAGCCAAAAAATGTATTGACCTGTAAGATATATGAATTCAAAACACATGTGTATTTTAATTGTCTAAACATATGTATGATTCATAAAATAATTTTTGGATGTAATTTCTTTTCAAGTCATAAGCATGTATGCCCTGTATGAATTTTGCCCTCATGTAAAATCCATATCAATGCATTATATGTACATCAACTTTATTACAATAGTAGCGTTTTCTATATGAATTTGGTTAGTAATGGTGAATAAAGCACCCTTATGTTTTGCTAATTCTTCTTAAGCAGTGAGTGTAAATCATAAATTTTTCTCATTTAATTTGCTAATTTACCTTGTTTATCTGATTACTTTTGCTTTCGCTTCAATGACTTGGATTCAATTGTTTATTGCATAAGCAACAAGGTATTAGCCATTTATCAATAGATTCCTAAACTCTATCCAAATCCCCCTCCTTGGATTAAAGGTTTAGTTACGCTCCTTGCAAGCATCAACTTTCTAGATTTTTAATATCCCTTAATATAAAAAGATTTGTTCATGGGAATTTTAAATCCCAAAGCTTAGATACATATCTTAATTTGAACCTTAAAGAGAAATATCATAGCCTAATGATTTGGTATAAGTACCTTAACTCCCCACTTCCAACTTAAAGGGAAGGCTTAGGATAAGGCAAGGTACTTAATGGGGCACCATTCCACTTAAGCTGAGAGCATTGTAATCAATTTCCTTTCTAAAAGTGAAAGTTGTTCTTAAATATGTCTTAAAGGAGCTTTTAAGCCCTCCTATTAACCCTCAGTCCTAATTTTAAGTTGGTTTGGAAACACCATTAAAGAGTTTCTTTTACACTAAATCCTTAACCTCAATATCACTACTAACTTTGCAATCTTTTTTTTAGTCATTATATTGAACTTGCAATGATGTGTGTTCAAAAAATGAGCTCTTGTATTCCTCATACCTCATAGTGAAGGATATTAAAATCTTCCCCAAGGGTCATAAATCAAAGGTACTTTAAAACCATTCTCTAGCTGTTTTGTCACCCCACACAACGGTTATCAATCTATGAAGATTCACGTCATATATATACCATTATCATAACACTTTGTTTGAAAATGAATGGGGACGGAAGAGTGTGGCACTTTTCCTAAGCTGGGGGTCCTAGTTTCAAAGACTCTCTGGAACCTGTAGCTTCATTCAGTCTCTTAAAAAAGATTGAAACAGCCAAGATTTCTTTGGCATCTGTCTGCGCATAATGATAATAATAACAGCTATTTCAAGTCATGAGGACCCATCCTATCTACTGCTGGTGTGGGGTTGGGGATGTGTAGTTTCAAAGATTGCAAGCAGCTCCTTAGAAGAAGAATGCCATTAGTGTCTACTGCAGAAGGTTGTGGTTAAGCAAAGCTGTATACATGTGAAAATTTGCCGAAGAAGCAGATAACGAGACTCCACAATTAACTACAGGAATAGGGAGTTAGCATGCTAACTTATCGGATATACAATGTACCTCCCCATTCGTCTGGATTGAGACTAAAAGCTTCTAGTCACAAAGACTCGACCTTATCATGAACCTCGAATGGGAAAGCCCTTAGCACAAGAATTCTTAGACGTAATTTGAAACGACCTACTCATTTGCACCGTAGATAGCCTCGCTATGCTTGCATGACTGAAGTTGAAGTGAAATTCTGCTAGGGAATTAGCTCCAGCTCCTTCTATGCATAGCAAAAGCAAGAAAACCAGCCTTCCATTGACGATTAGTTTCCAGCTCATTAGCGATTTCCGGATCAACGTCGGAAAGTGGATTGAGATGCTGCGAGGCATTTAAAAAGGGTTGTCTGGGTCCCAAGATCAACCGAAGTGTCACAGCAACAGAGCCTGTTCATGCCAATAGAAAGTAAGTCGCTACTCGTCATAAAATACCCATCTTAGAAAGCTACCTGGATTCCATGATTAAAGTGCGTCCATTCCAAATGCGAGGAACAAAAGACAAAAAAGGAAGAAAAGAGAAAGGATTGAGTTGCAGCCGCATTATCCATATTGCAAGCACCATAGATTGTAAGCAAGGTAACTTAAAAAAAGAACTCCGGAGTGAAAAATCAGCGAATTGCCTTTGTTTCTCCGCAAAAGAACATCTACAATTGATTTCACACTACTCAGCTGATTGCCAAAAACTTGCACGCCTTCTCAGGCTTCTCCCGACTCAGTTCTAAAGCAAAAAGGACACAAAAGCATTAGAAATCAAACCGGAAAACTGAATCAACCAACCTCTGGTTTCACACCCGGTCCTGGCACTGCATCACGTCCAAAACGAAACTTGTAAACGTGCAACATGCCTTCCAGCCTAGATCCAGTAAAACAAGTGTATAGCATGTCACTGTACTGCTCCGGCGTTTCACTTTGTACGTGAGCTTGTGCGTCGCCTTGACTCTGGATGCTCCCAGTGCCATAGAATGTGACCTGCAAACCAGCAAGAGGCAAGCCGGCTGCTTCCAAAGCAGCAACATGTGCCGGCATATTCATCAACTCGTTCCAATCTGCTGGAAGAGCTAGGCCCGCTTGCTGCAGAGTCGATCTTGCTTTTTCACGGCAGTCCTCGCGAGGATGAAATCCAGGCCTTCTAAGCGTGCAACGACAGCTTCCAACCAGTCTATTTTCTGCTGCTGTGCCTCTACTTGTTTATGAAGTGTGGAAATCTCCTGCTGCTGTGCCTCTACTTGTTTATGAAGTGTGGAAACCTCCTGCTGCAATGTGGAAACCTCCTGCTGCGATGTGGAAACCTCCCTCTCAAGCGTAGAGATCTGCATCTTCTGCCGCTCCGATTCCTTTTCCCACTTGTCCATTCTGGTCTTCATCTCATCGAAGAGGGACTTGTAATTGCTGATTCCCACCTGTGGATCACTCTTGAGTATCTCCTGATAGTTAGTTGCCTGTCTATAAAGAAGATCCTTCTGCTGCGTTGACGCGATCGGCTCGTAGAGAATAAACCCCTTCTTGTTGATGAGTTCCTGGACCGTCTTGTCGGAACAGTCGCCTGGGATCACCGCTGTTTTCGTAGGAAGAGTGTCTGGGATTCCAACCGAGGCAAAATGACCTTGGCCCTGCTTTCCTTCCATCGTCAATAGCTACTTGGAGCTACAATCGACAGGAAAGAGCTTCGCTCCTCGGCCACCCTAAATTCCCTTCGCTTGCTAATGTTTTTTTTTTTTCTATTTTTTTCAGTAAATCGCATTTTCTTATATGTTTTAACATTCTAGTATGTCGAAAAGAAAAATGACGGCCGACAACATAAGATCTTAATTACGGTACTTCATGGTAGATTTTTCAAAGCCAATGGTGGGGAAGTCTTTTGCATAGTCTTCCACCTCCTCTCTAAGCGCTTTGATGTGGCCCTGGAATTCGGGGTTCGTGTCAACGGCAGCCTTGAAATCCTTAAGCTTGGCGCCTGATGAAAGATTTGAGAGATAGATCGAGTGACAGAGGATGTAAACGATCAACATACCTGAGGCTTCTTTGATCTTTACGGCAATTCCCACCGCACGGTCGAAAAACTCGGCAACTTTCTCAAAGTCCACCTCGGTGAATCCTCTTGATGTCAAAGCAGGAGTTCCTGGAAAAAGAGTGCGCTTCTTAGTGCCAGAGCAATCACCCAGGTTTTCATCATACCCATTCTTACTCCGCCGGGCACCATCGCAGAGACATCTCCAGGCACTGTGTTCTTGTTGGCAGCAATGTGAGCCAGCTCGAGGACTCGTTCTACCCTGGATCCATCCAGCCCCTGGAAGACAGAATAATTCATTCAAACAGCAATGTGACAGTACCTTGTTTTTCAAGTTGACCAGAACTAAGTGATTCTCTGTTCCACCTGACACAAGCTCGTAACCTTTTGCCATCAAATGCTACAGAAATCTTCATTTAGAAAGAAACAAAAATAAATACGCTATGTTATACCTTGGCAAAATGAGCAGAGTTTCGAAGAACTTGTTCTTGATAAGCCTTGAACTCTTGTGTAGATGCCTGAAACATCCCCATTTTTAGATTGACAGTAGAATTCGGCTGATTTACCTGTTTAAGAGCCACGGCAAGCGCAGCAATTGTGTGATTGTGAGGACCACCTTGAAGCCCAGGGAACACTGCAGCATTTATTTTCTCAGCGTAGTCGTATAGAACCTGCGAGGCACTGTCAAGGAGGTAACTTGGGAAAGTAAACGTACCTCCTGTCCTTGTTTGTTAGTTTCTTTCACACCCTTGCGGAAGAAAATCATTGCTCCACGAGGACCTCTAAGTGATTTGTGCGTGGTAGTGGTGACAACGTCTGCAACGTCGAATGGAGATGGCACGACACCAGCAGCTACAAGTCCGCTTATATGAGCCATATCAGCTAGAAGGATTGCCTTTTGCTTGTTGCAAATCTGTGATAACGTTACTTTGAGGTTAAAGCTGCAATCGCTATCTACTCATATGTACCTGACGCATTCGTGCATAATCATAATGCCGAGAGTAGGCGCTGGCTCCGGCCACGATGAGTTTTGGCCGGAAGAGTGTCGCGCTTTTTTCAAGCTGGATAAGACTCCAGGTTAGTCTCAAAGAGCGAAGTTCTTTGAGACTTCTACTATTCGATTTACCTGATCGTAGTCAATAAAACCTGTAGATTCATCCAGCCTATATGGCATCGTTTCAAAAAAGATTGAAACAGCCGAGATTTTCTTAGTATCTGTCTGTGCAAAATAAAGAAGAATGCCGCTTAGCTTCTAAAGCCAAAGGTTGCCTACCTGATAACCATGAGATAAATGGCCTCCGTGAGGTAAATCAAGAGCCATAATTCTTTCGTGTGGTTTAAGCAAAGCTGTATACACTTGAAAGTTTGCTGGAGAACCAGATAATGACTGCACATTGACTGCAAAGAAAAGAAGTCAGAGCTTTATCCTTTCGCCACTGATAAAACGTACCTCCCCATTCGTTTGGATTGAGACGAAAAGCTTCTAGTGCTCGTTTCTGGCACAAAGACTCGGCCATATCAATGAACCTAGAACGAACAAACAAACATTAAGCGTTCCTAGACGTAACTTGTGAAGAAAAAACGACCTACTCATTTCCACCGTAGTAACGAGCTCCTGGATAGCCCTCGCTATACTTGTTGGTCATGATGGATCCCACTGCTTGCATGACTGAAGTTGAAGTAAAATTCTCCGAGGGAATTAGCTCCAGTCCCTGGTAAAACAGATCCAAAGTTTCCTTCTATGTATAGCGAAATTTACCAACCTTCCATTGACGATTTTTTTCCAGCTCAATTATATCAGCGATTTCCGGATCAACGTCGCCAAGTGGAGCGTTGAGCTGCTTTGGCCACTGCGAGAACGCGAATGCATGTAAACGGATAAGACAAAGAATACTACTTTCTAAAAGGGAACTCCACTTACTGTGACATGGGATTTATCCTTGGAACTCTCGAATCGCGAGTACACTTCGTCATTGGCCACGGCGGTCTGGATCACACATCAGAATGTAGCTAGCTATCGAAATTTCACAAAGATTCTACCGACGCATTTCGCGAAAGGATCGATCTGGCATCGCCGAGCGCCCTGTTTGCCGCGATCGCGAGCGCCGTAGAGGCACGAAACCTGGACAATCGCCGAAGAACAGCCGCCGAAGCTAGCGCCATTGCTCGATCGTAATCCCTCGCGGCAACGCCGCCCCAGCCCAAAATATTTCTTCGTCCACTGCCAAGCAAACTAAATGACCTATTATCTATCGTCTATACTAACACTCTTTTTCTCTTGTGGCCTGTGGCTGGAAGCCACGTCACCATGATCCTCCAAGGTGTGGTTCATGTTACTTGACTGGTAGATAGCTACATTGTCATTGTTTTTGCGTGAGCTTGGTAAGAAAAAAAAAGAAAGTAGTAACATCATATGATTATTACCTGTAGTGGTGTTGTCTACCAAGTATTATATCCTCCTATATCCTTGAGAGAAGCCAAAAAATTCTTGGCTAGCTTAGTGACGTCAGGATTTCCTGAATATCACTCGCTTCAAAGCTATCAAAATTTGCGAGGCCGTGACCCTCCCTCTCGGATGATCCGAACGAGCCGCTCGATGATCCGGCCCTGGAACTGGAGCTGGGAGTGCAATTCTCGGCCGCTATCTCTGCTAATCCTCCTCCTCTCGATGCTACTTTGTTCGATTTGCCGCCGCCACAGCCTTTTGATCGTTTCCTGGTGCTCGACTTTACGGCGACTCTCTTATTGCTGTGATTATTCGTGTCCGAGGACGTCGATGAGTCTTCCGGGGATGCAGCCTTCTTCCCGAGAATTACCTGGTGCCAGGTGAAAAACTCTCAGCACAAACAAAGAGGATTGCAAGCTTCCGAGAATACTTACGTATTTTCCAGCTGCGGAGTTCTTATATTTGTAAAGCCGCAGAAGATCTCCTTCTTTAAGACAATGGGACCTGATAAACTCTCCTGCGAAATCCGTGCCAAGAGTGAGACAAACTTCTGATTCATCTACGTCAAAAGTTTCTTACCCGTGTTCTCCAGAAGATACATTCGGCTTTTGTTGTTCGGCCAGAATCTATGTCGTGCTCGAGATTGTAAGAACTTCCACCTACATTGTAAAGAATCTTCGAAGTTTACCTGTATCTCATGTGCCACTTATATGCGGTGGTCAGATCCTCCATCACAATCGTCATCCCTTCTCGGACAGTCAAGTAAGGCAGGCAGCTCTCAGCTTCTTTCTGCTCGGAGAAAAACGAAAATCTCTTTTCGCTATTCGCTAGAAGAAATTTCTTCATACCTTTGGGAGGACAATCCTTCCCAGGTTTCCAACGTCGCTTGGCTTGAGCTGCTTCTGCAGAAGAAATTCCAAGTTCTTCTCGACAATTAGTTCCTGAAAAGACATTTGCATAAATTAAGTGAGCTCCAACAAAATATCTCGGCAAGCTTTACCTCCACAGATTTTCGCGATGTGCAGCAAGGAAAAGGCACCTGGTATGGCAGCGATCGCCTCTTTCTTGCCATGCGACACTTACGCGCAGTGGACCTAAAGGGCAACTCCACCTTGATCTGTCGATCGCTCCCTGGAAGAAATCCTCCTGGCGTGTGAAAGTGTTCTTCGATAGGCTGCTGCTCCACCTTGATATTCGCCACTGGATCGAGAATGTTGGCAGCAGCGGGGCCATCGATCACTTGCGGCGAAGCGACCATGAGGTTATCGAGAATTGCCGCTGGGCAATGCCGCCGAAAGGCATAAAGATTCGTGGATGAGCCGATTGCATCGCCTTGCTGTTGCTGCTGGGATTGGAGAACCTGGCACTCGAGCTGGGGACAAGAGAACCAGTATTGATCCTCGATGGAGGCGGTGGCGGATTCTTCGTCGCCGATCACGATGCTGTGATGCTGCTGTGCCTGATGCTGCTGCCAATCCATCATCGTCGCGGCTGCTGGGACTTCGCCGATCCACTCCACTAACCTCGCGGAGGAGCCGGCCGGGATGCTCGCCATGCTTTCTTTCTTGGCGTCTGGGACCTCCCAAAGATCAACCAAAGGCTTACAGTCCTGGGGGCCGTCGACCGATAGCGTCGCGGCGGCGGCTCCTCCATAGTTGTCGACGAGTTGGAATCCCGGCGCTGGCGCCTCGAGCGGGATTATCGATGCCGGATCTTTCTGCGGATGATCGAACGCCACCGACGCCTCCGAAGCGGCGGCGCCGCTGTGCTGCGCGATCGGGCTGAAATCTTGGAAGGAGAAATCGTCGCAGCAGTCAAGAACCTCGCGGCCGCTAATGCTCACGCTCTCGATCTTGACATCCAGGAGTGGGAAATCGCTGGGGAGATTGTAGACAGCACACGAGACGGCCATGGCGCCGGCGCCAGCGCCTTCGATCGATGGAAATGGGAAGCGCAAGGGACTAGATTCTTCTAAAATCCTAGGCCTAACTAGACGATCGATCGCTGGATCGATCGATCAAGAAGGCAAAGACGCCATCTTTGAGGCGCGGAAAAATGTAGGCGCTAAACCAAAGGAGCGGAAGGGCGTTAACGAGCTGGAAAGTGATAGTGAGAGCACTGGGAGTGCCACCAAATTTGGTGGCTACCCCCAGAATTAGCTTTCCCCAGTGTTCTGTGAACCGCTAGCTTCGCTAGTGGTAGTTTGCAAAAACAAAATGGAGGAAAAGATGAAAAATGGAAAATAGCAAAAAGCAACATTTCTAAAACAAAACAATCCAACTTTAAAAATTATCGCCGCCCGTGGGGCTCGAACCCACGACCACAAGGTTAAGAGCCTTGCGCTCTACCAACTGAGCTAGGGCGGCCTTGATGTCAGAGATTTCAAGTTTTGCCTTCTTTGTCTGTTTCGCTATCTTTCTTAAAGTCTTGCATTTTTACTTTTAAAAGGGATAAGGAGTTTTAGGGTTTTTGCGATGGAGCTGCTATGGAGGAGTTCGCCATTCACCAGCGCTGCTCAAATACCTCTCAAATTCACTCGCCAATCGCCCGCAGGTATTTTCCAGCTGAAATCTTGCCGAAATTTCGCTTCATCGCAAGGACATTGCAGCAGGAGCGATCCCTTTGTCGATCACCGCCGAGGAATACAATCGCCGGGAGAACAGGAGAATGAAGCACCAAAGAATTCGCAAGAAGGTCTGGAATCGAGGATTTCCAGGAGCTGCATTGCCTGATTCCTCCTCTTTCTTTCTTCCTTCAGCTGAGCGGTACCACGGAGAGGCCACGGCTCGCAGTTTTTCGTTCCAACCAGCATTTGTACTGCCAGGTGATTGACGACACCAAAATGCACACGCTCGCGGCCATGTCGACGATCCAGAAGCCCCTCCGCGACGAGCTCAATCTCAGTTCTGGCCCAACGATTGTAAGTCCTGTTTTTCCTTCCAGTTCTTTTACACTATCTACCGAGAACTTCGCAGGAGGCGGCAAAACGAGTCGGGGAAGAGATTGCCAAGCTTTGTCTCAGTAAAGGAATCACCAAAATAGCTTTCGACCGGGGTGGATTTGAGTACCATGGTCGGATCAAAGCCCTGGCCGAGGCCGCTCGAGAGAGTGGGCTTGAGTTCTAAACAAATTCTTCTCTTTTTGTTTTACTTAACTTTTCTCTTACAGATAATCTCTAGGGAAGAACATCGCAATGTGCGGTGCCTGTTAGCTCGACGTGTGGTGTTTCGGGGCTCAAGGTTTTTCTTAGTCTTTACAGGTGCTCGCTCGCATAGTCATGAGGAGCTCATGCCAATCTCTTCATTCTCCTTCAATTTTATTGCCTTCAAAGCGAAGAAGATTGCGCCGAGTTGCTACTGCGGCTCTCAGTAGTGCTCAGGTTCGCAAGCAAGTGCAGCATCGGTTCTCTCATCAAATTGCATTGTTTTCGCAGGTCAAACAAGCCGAGATGCTGATTGAGCGGCTGTCTACGCGCTTGACAACAGATAAGGTGTGAAGTATGTTTTTCATGCATTTGCGCTACCCTTTTAAGTATTTCTTCTTCTTTTGTTCATAGGTTTTGGACAAGATTACTACTGTCATTGCTGGCCAAACTCCGGTGCGACGATCATTTTGTTCTCTCTCTTCAAGTTTTGAAGAAAATTCTTGTTTCACAGGTGGAACCAGACATACTGGACAAACAACTTAAGGCCATCACAACGGGAGAGGTGTGTTTTTTTGTTCAGTGTTGCTCTTAGAATTGAATTGGTTTGTGTAGGATTACAATTCCTGGGAGGAGTTGAGGACAGAGCTTGTACACAATGCCTCTAGCCTGTGGACGTCTTCTTATGATTTGGCAAGTCCGAGGCCATTTGAAACCTGTGCTTTTCAATCTTAACGATGGCTTTCAGCTTACAAACTTCAATCCATTTGAGCTTGGACACTGGGTCGGGGGCTTGATTGAAGACTTCGCTGAAAGAGTAAAGGATGTTCGCAATTTTAAATCTGATAATGGTTTTGTTTGCAGTTTGCTGCCTGGGAACTATCTAGTTTGGTGGCCATCGGAGAGAGATGGTTGATCTGGACGCCGCTTGTTGTTCTTACAATGGCGTGGTAAATTGTTTCGTTTTCTATCCACAAAGGATGAGCTCGTAAATGTGCACAGGCAAATGTCAAAGAATAGAAATCAGAACGGCGAAGCGACGGAAAGCCAGTACGTACGTAATACCAGATCTGTATTCATTTTCCCCTCTGTTTTCTCTTTTATCAAGGACATCGGTGGCTGCACCGCCTGCCACTGAAAAGCAAAAGCAGGTCAGGAAGGAGATCGAGAGAATGAAACTAAGATGTTCGCTTCTACAAGAGGTGGGAGCTATAAAAGTGAGTTCCTTTGGAGGTTTTCTTTGTGAGAATTTGGCTTCCTATGACACAACCGAAATTACAGGGAAGTGCAACTATACAAGCCATCGTGAAGCAGCTCCAGATGGTTGGCTCAATGTTCGACGACGAGACTGCCATGGAGAACATTGACGGGAGCTGGCAGCTATTGTGAGTGTTTTTTGCGTTTTCGAAGTTTGAGGTTCATTGTTCATACAGATATGCGTCTCAAGAGCCCGCGATATTTTCTCGATTGCCCGGTCTAGAGATAAGCAATCTGGAGCAGAAGTTTTCACGGCGGAGTAACGATCAAACGCTGACGATACACAATCTCGCGCTCTTGAGGTTTGTAGGATGATCTTTGGAGTAGCGCATCTAAGCTTTGAAACACAGACTACCTGGTGTGGGAGCGGTCCGAGTGGAACTCAAGGGCGTGTGGAACAAGTCGACTGGTATGGTGGTCTTTGACGAAGTTTCTGCAGGTAGAGCTTTCGAGTCCCCAGTTTCTTGGGACTTGACAAGGATCACTCTCGCGCTGCCCGTTCCTCGGTCGGAGCGGTGGGAGCTTTTGTATATGGACGACGTGATTCGCGTAAACCAGGGAGACGATAGCCATTTGTACATCTATTCCAGACTTTACACTTGAAGCTTTGGAATTGAGCACGCATTACTGCCTCCAATATTCTCGCTCTATCGCGTAATAGTTCTTCCAATCCAAGCTCTAATGGACTGATCTTAGCGATGCGAGGAGGCAGGAACAAGTTAGGAGATCCTAGTCAGCCAGTTGACGGGAACGAGTGATCTTCCGTGCTTCTTGGAACGTTTAGAATTGCGATGGAGTCCCTTCGCTGGATTTCAAGAGATGTTTCTCCATCCTTTCATCCACCACCGAGAGAACTCGCGAGATTTCTTAACGTTTCCACACACTCGGAGAGCAGTGATCGAGGCCGCGCGCTACGCGATCGTGTTCCCGGCGTCAAAGAGGCGAGGCGATTTAGCGCGAGATCCATCTAGATCTAACTCCAAAATCCGGGAATGGTTTCCGCCAAGGACGCCCGAGAATGCGCGTGATAATCGGGCGATGGGACTGTGTCGTATGGTATAAGTACATGGTATGATATTTTATTATCAGAACCCGGCTGCTGAGATCATGGCTATCAGGTAAGTGTAAAGGTAAACCGTTGTAGAAGACCCGGGTTCGATGCCGAAGGGTCCAATCAACAAGGACTTTTATGAAAAAAGTTTGCACAATATGTAGCCTTCGTTCTGGTTCGCCAGCTCATTAAAACGACTTAGACCAGTCAGTTAGGACTTTGGTCTCTCAAAACATACGTGTCCGGTTCGACTCTTCTCGTGCTCTTCTAAACTAATTGTATAAATTAGTTTAACTAAAACTTTTAGGGTTGTGCCCTAGTTTCGTTGGCTAGGGTTTTAGGAAACTCGCAGATCAGGGTTTTCTCTCTTTGTTCTTGGAAATTACATCGCGCAGTCATGGCAGGAATGGCACCGGAGGGCTCGCAATTCGATCCCCGTCAGTTCGATCAGAAAATGGAATTCGCGTAAGTTCTCTCCTCTCTTCCGCAGCTCGAGATCTTTTGTTTTCCTTTTCCTTTTGGCAGCCTCGAGACCGGCGAGGAGGCCCTCTCGACCTGGGAGGAGGTTAACGAGACATTCGATTCGATGGGTCTCCACGAGAATCTCCTGCGAGGGATCTATGCCTACGGTAGGCAAAGGGAAATCCTCTCGAGATTTCACAAGCTTTGTTCTTACGATTCTTGGTTTGCTGCTGCCAGGTTTTGAGAAGCCATCGGCGATCCAGCAGCGAGGAATCGTCCCGTTTTGCCGGGGCCTCGACGTGATCCAGCAAGCCCAGTCGGGGACCGGCAAGACGGCTACGTTTTGCTCGGGCATTCTCCAGCAGCTTGACGGACACCTGAACGAGTGCCAGGCGCTCGTCCTCGCTCCTACCCGCGAGCTCGCCCAGCAGATCGAGAAGGTGATGCGAGCGCTCGGGGATTACTTGCAAACCAAAGTTCACGCTTGCGTCGGCGGCACGGACGTCCGCCAGGACCAGAGGATCTGCCAGGCGGGTGTTCACGTCGTGGTTGGAACTCCTGGCCGTGTCTACGATATGCTCCGCCGCCGGGCCCTCCGCTCCGAGCACATCAGGATGTTCGTCCTGGACGAGGCGGACGAGATGCTCTCCCGTGGATTCAAAGACCAAGTAAGCCACACTTTCCTTTCCTATCGCGTTTCGATTCTTTTCTTTCGTTGTTTCTTCTTGGTTTGATGATTTGGGCTATTAGTTTTCGAGATCTCTCGTTTGTTCGTAACTCTCTTTCTCACTACTTTGGTTGGGTTGTGTGTTTTAAGATCTTTCTTTCTTTTCTCGTTTTCTCGTTTTCTCGTGTTGGTTTGTTTCATTTTCGAAATCTCTCCGCTGTTTTCGTTGTTTTTCTTAACTTCTCTTTGTCTTCCTCGTGTTGGTTTAGATTTCGTTCTTCTGACTGGTTGAGTTCTTTGGATTTTTCATCCTGTTGCTCACGACGCGATTCTCTGTTTTACAGATCTATGATATCTTCCAGCTCCTGCCCGCCAAGGTCCAGGTGGGCCTCTTCTCCGCCACCATGCCGCCCGAGGCGCTGGAGATCACCCGCAAGTTCATGAGCAACCCGGTCCGGATCCTCGTCAAGCGCGACGAGCTGACGCTGGAGGGTATCAAGCAGTTCTACGTGAACGTGGAGCGCGAGGACTGGAAACTGGACACGCTGTGCGACCTGTACGAGACGCTGGCCATCACGCAGAGCGTCATCTTTTGCAACACCCGTCGCAAGGTGGACTGGCTCACGGACAAGCTGCGGAGCCGCGACCACACGGTGTCGGCGACGCACGGCGACATGGATCAAAACACCCGCGACATCATCATGCGCGAGTTCCGGTCGGGATCGTCGCGAGTTCTCATCACCACCGACTTGCTCGCGCGCGGGATCGACGTCCAGCAGGTGTCGCTGGTGATCAACTTTGATCTTCCCACGCAGCCGGAGAACTACCTGCATCGAATCGGGCGCAGCGGTCGGTTTGGGCGCAAGGGAGTGGCGATCAACTTCTTGACCAAGGACGACGAGAAGATGCTCTTCGACATCCAGAAGTTCTACAACACCGTCATCGAGGAACTGCCGAGCAACGTTGCGGACCTCATCTGAGCAGCGTGAGTTTTTGCTTTATTCGTCTATTTCTTCTTTTTTGTTTTGGCCTCTAGGCTGCTGTGCGGAAGTTTTGTTTTCGCTCTCTCTTTTCGTTTTTGTACTTTTAGTTCGGCAAAGGAATCATGAATTCACTTGAAAAAAAAGTGTGCTCAAAAGTATTATACTAACCAGAATTTGAATAGAATAAAATAGAATGGGTGGTTATTGATTTTTTAAATAAATTATTTTAAATAATTATTTATTATTTTGTTATTTATATAAATAATTCATCAATAATTGTTAATTTGATTGATGTTAAAAAAAGAATTTAAAATATATTACAGTTACACTTAAGTGGCAGCCGAGGCTAATATGGTTTTTTTGAGTAGTGTTAACTATTAGTATGTTTTATTCCTAATTAATTAATTTTTTATCTTTTAAAATTATATTTAGTTTAATTTTAATTTTTTTAAGAATTCAAGATAAACTGAATGTTTAATATTAAGAAAAAAAAACTCATACACCTCAAGCAACAAACTTTCAATAATAAAATATTTAAACTTAATTTTAAAAAGGATATAAGATATATATGTATCAAATGTTTATTGTTATTTAAAAAAATATAAAATAGTGAATATTTAAACTTTTTCTGACAAATTTCATTTTTAATTAATATTTTAAAATTGAATTTTTTCTTTCGTTTCAATAAATTACATGGCACCTTTGTTAATATTAATCATTTATTAACTTATTTATATTAAACATTCAATAACATCCCTTTAAACTCATAAACTGCAAATATATCTTTGATAACTTTTCATCTTGTAAAAGTGAACTTACACCATCAACAAAAATATTACACCTATCAACCGAGGCTAATAAAATTTTTTAAGCAACATTACCTATCAATAATGTCCTCCACTACTCCAAACTAATGATCTCCAACGCTTGTAACAGCCCTACCAACTCAAAAGTGATCAGGGAGCTGTTCACGTCGTCTTGGGGTCTATGTTCTTGTCGACAACCTTAAAGGTCTTTTATAGCTAAACTCCCTTTTTGCAAACTAAGTTCTTTGCTTCAAGTTTGCTCTTCGTTTTGCACAAAGACCTGCAAAGAGTAACTCAGTTCCCACGAAGCAAACTGCATAAAGGAATTCTTACCCCTGCTAAAACCTTGAGATCTAGTCGAGTTGCCTGGTCCTCTTCACTCTTGCCGACTGATTTTGTTTGAGAAAACCTTCGCAGCGTTTTCCGGCTCGTCTCATCTTGCGGACCAGCCTCGTCGCCGGCCTTACGTTTCTTCTTTTCTTGAATAGCTTTGATGGTTTTGGATTGATCAACCCGAGCAAGGTAGAAATCTCGCTCGCGCTTGGCCGCAGAGATCTCGGCCGCAAGCTTTTGATCGTGAACGGCTTTCCTGTAAGCTATTTAGCAAGATATTACTGTCTAGAATACAAAAGAAAACAAAAAATTGCTGAGATCGCTTACCAATTTCTTCTGTTAGATGGTTCCACTTGAACTTTCTCAAGTATTTGATGTTCCAGAGATCGTAGTAATAAGCTGATCGTCTCTTCCCACCTGAAAAGAAAACGAAAAAACCATCACGAATTCCTTGCGAACTTCAGAGAACTGACCCATCGGTTCTCCATTTAATAGTTTTGCTACATGCTTTGCATCGCTCTTCTTCGAGAATTCCACCCACCTGGAAGCTAGACAAGTTCTTCCCCAATCTCTTTAACACACGACTTAACTTACCCTTCAGTGAAATTCTTGCCGGTGTTCCCTCCAGCTCGCTTCCTGCGCTTCCTCGCGGCCGGATCTAACATCGGAATATGGCTCACGATTGGCGAATTGTGGATCGAGATTTTCCACCCTACCTTCCGGGACGAGATACACTCGCAAAACATCGCCATACTGCGAGAGAAGATGGCGCAGCTTGAGCGGCTTCAAATGCGGTGGAATCCGGCTGAGATAGCACACGCCTTTCTTCTCCTCCTTCTCCTCCACCGCTACATTCTTCTTTCTTTTCGTCGCCTTGGCTGCTTCTTCTTCCATCGAAGAACCCTAAACCTCTTTTAGGTTTAAACAGAGCAGATCAGAGGTTCGATTCCTCGCCGCGACAGGATTGTCCCTTACAACGGTCACATTTTGGGGCGGAGTTTTAGGGTTTTGTGATGGGGAGAAGTGCTCTAAGCCATGGCGATTTTCACAAGCTTCCGCGGCGCAAGCTCCAGCAGCTGTGCAAGAAGCACGGAATCCCGGCGAACAAGACGAACAGCTTCATGGCGGATGCGCTGTCGAAGATTTCCAGGGTATGAATCCATCCAGGGCATTTGAAAAGTCGCTCACGGCTTTGTGCATTCCAGGAGGAGATTGATAAAGAAATTGAGGTAGAACAAGAGGTGCGCGGTGGCTCGGAGACACAATCGGAGGCTACGGAGGTGGACAAGCAAGTCGAAGGCAGTGAGGAGCGTGTGACAAACTCGCTTCTAAGTGATTCTGGGGAGATTGCTGTGAGTAATGGAGTTAAGATCCCTATAGAAATGGGAAATCAAGCAGCTTTGGAGATGGATCCACAGAATATGGTACATTTTCTATAGCAATGCTTCTTTCTTACTCGTAGCTTTGTTTAACAGCGGCCAAGTCCACAAGCGCTCGACCATAGGTAAACTGTGGGAATTTTTTTTTTTTTTTTTTATTGTTCCAATTCTGCAGGAACAGCGAGAATGTGGTGAGTTTTGTGCTCTCGGTGTTCTTCTAACTTATTTGTGCGTCTAGGAGGATCTTTCACGCGCTTCTGGGGACGGGTATATAGTTTTATCTAGTTTTATTGTTCTGCCAATGCTTATTTCTTGATTGTTTTCAGGATAATCGAGGATAAGGTAACCTTTGTAAGCACCTCACTCCCGTTGTGTATGGAAGATCTACATCTGTGCAGGAAGAGTTTTCTCAACGTCCAACTCCACAAGGTCACAACGACGGGTATGCGTTTACTTTTCCTTCATATCGTTGTTCACGCTCTCGAAATGCTTGCAGGTTATACATGGTAAGAGTTGTATGAACGAAACCTGGATGGTCTTCTGATTTCCGCGTGTCTCTAGGACGATGTTCCAGAAGTCCTTCAAGACGGGTATGGTAGTCAGTAATTTCTGTCAGTGTCAGACACTCACATTCTTGTATTATTGTGTAGGCAAAGCGAGAATATGGTGAGGTTCACGGTAGAGTAACGAAGCTCTAACATCTATACTTGTACAGGATTGCTGTGAGCTCTCAAATCCAGAAGTTATTGTGGACAGGTATATTAGTCCTTGTTCAGTGCCTCGCATTTTAACATGTTCTTTTAGCAGCTCGCAGGATGATCCAGAAGTAGCAGACTCGACTGCTCGAGTAGAAACCGAAAATGCGGCGTCCAACAACACATCCATAAAAGCAAGGCACTGGAAGGAGATGGTTGAACGAGCAACGAGGAAAGCTAGGCACAAAGATCACTATAAAGAAGTACCTTTTATGAAGAGGATGCTAGCAAACAGGAGTCTACTGAGAGCGAGGCTCAAGAGAACCGAGGTTCTGACGCAGCGGAGGATAAAAAGCGTCGACATGGTGCAGAACGACGAAGTATTACGGCCAAGATCAACCAGTGAGGTGAACACAAGAGGAGAGCTACGTAAGGAGCAGCCAGTTTTTGGAAGGAAGAGGTTTATGGAGAAGGCGATGGCAGAGTCCGCGAAGAAAATGACCGAGAAGAGAGGTGCGGCAGCTTCGCCGTTGAGGAACATATCGAATCAGCTCAGTGTCCGCGATCAAGCCAGTGCTCCAGTGGATAGTCCAGCAAATCGAGACGCTCCACGAAGAACACCCGTGAGCCTTTGTGGAGGAAAGGTCGCCAGTGTTCACAGAAGACACCAGGCACAATTCAAGACTCCTCTCTCGGGAAAGTCTCATCAGAAGACGTTGTCGGCTGTTTCCAAGATGGCAGCGCTGCAGCGAAACGAGATCTTGAGCTCCAGACGACGCATGTTTGACAAGGAGGTGGTAAGCGATCTATCTCATCGTTTTGATTACCTTCGTTTTCTTTGTTTGCAGGAAAGCTAGTCTCCTCAAAAAAATCAGTGACTGCAACTACTCTAAAGTTATTTCTATTGCTAGGCCCAAGGTTTGAGAAATTGTCGTCGTTTCACTGCCTACTGTGTCGTTGTGCAACAGAAACTCATCCAGGCAAAAGAAACTCCACAACTTGGGAGGTGATGTCGTCCACCTCTTGAGGTGTGTGCGAGCTGAAGGGCTCCCGAAAATCCCTGGTCATGACACTGTTTTCCAGCAGGAGAGAAGCCAGATAACTCATGCTCTCGCTAGCCTCCTGGAGACTGGGATCCTGGATGAAAACCACGCCCAAATTCCAAAAGTATCTCTCGTAGAGTGTGGCTTCCCACGAAGAGCATGAATCAGCTCCATGCATGAATATGGTGTGAACCTGTTCATCTCTGATCGTGCGGCTTGCTTGGCCGCCTCTAAATCTTCTGCTGTGCTGCTCGTAACGATGGAAGAAAACATGGATTCCTCACTACTGCTCTTCTGAGTGGGGGACATATCCGCGAGATGAATGCAACCTCGCCATTCTTCCTGTGGATATACAAGAACGCAATCTTGTCTTTTGGAAAGGCCATGGAGGCCTGTGGAGAGGCAAGAAACGTTAGATGCAGAAGCTGCTAAATCGTGTAGTAGAAACCTTGAGCTGGGGAGTTGAAGAATTTCTACACTCAATACTGTGTTCAAATTAGATTCTTCTTTGGGAGACGAAGTCACGTACAGTGACGTACTTCTCATTGTCCTGTGAAGCTTAGCGTGTTTTTAGAAGAAAATTTTAAACAAAGATCATGACAGATGCCTAGAATCTTTTTTAGCGAGTTTTTATTCAATTCTAAATAAATTGTTACATTGATAGTAATGTTATTCTAATTCAATTGATCAAATAAAGTTCATAAATATAAATTTATTTGTAATTTATAAACACAAGATTAATCTTATTGCATATTAGCCATTAGATGATAGAATAAAAAAGAATATACTAGAAGGGGTTTAAGAAAGTTTATAAATTATAAATATATTTATAAATTATAAATACAAAATTAATCTAAATGAATAGATGATAGAATATTTTAGAATATTTAAGCATATTTTAGGTATATTCACTACCATCTCCTTCAAGTGTAAACTAAAAATCTCGACCTGATTAAATACAGGAGAATGGTCAACGGTCTAACATGCTAACATTTGACTGGTTGAAGAGATTCTTGACCCAAGTCGATGCTCTAATTTGAATATAGATTACCTCGTAGAAATTGTTACAGTAAGCAAATGGGATGCAGCTGCTACTCACACGATCAAACTGAATGGCATCGCTGCCCGCCTCGATTGTCCTGGAGTAGCACCCATCACTGCTCTGGAAACTATACGTCTGATTGAGCGCTCCACCTCCACTCACGACCTTGTTCCCTGCGATCACGATCTTCCCAGCCGCGTCCTGCTTGTTGTCAAGCCGGCTCCAGTAAAACTCCCCGCCTCCACTGCCGCGATGCACCTCAATCTCCTCCGCCACTCTATGGGAGATCCTCGTCTCCGAGACGATCGAGCCATCGGCGGGTGTAGTCTCGGAGTCGAACACGTGGAGCGGATACGAGCTGGAAGTTTGCTGGAGCTCGATTTGCTCGTCGCCACTGGCTACCACGACCTTGGCATTGGTGTCGATACTCTGATCTACAGTCGTTATCTCGCCATTGTTCCCAGAGAAGTCCATCCGGTTGGAGAACGCGTAGCTGTACGAGGAGGTGGTGAAGAGCTTGCCACGCGAGGAAGACTCGACGTAGCCCGAGTACTGGAGAGACCGAGAGGCGGCCACCCGGAGAGAGCCGACCGGGCCTTTGTAGCGTGCGTTGTAGCTGATATCGGCTGCTGGAGCACTATAGGAGACGAGCTGCCCGGACGTCTCAGAGCTACCGTGGTCGAGCCAGAGGTGTAAGTTGGTGTCCAGTAGCCAGAACCTGAGAGCGTTGGTGACGCTGAAGCCGCTCTCATGGCTGCCACCGTCCACCAGCAGACCAACAAATGGAGTTATGTCGAGAGTGTAGCTCGGCAGGTCGAAAGCTCCGATTGCGGCTGCTGGAGCCCAAAGCAGTGGATTGATTCCACCCGTGAAGATCACTGGCAAGGGACAGATCTCTCCGGCGAGGAACCCGTCGACAGTGACCAGAACTTCTCTGTAGGGACCGTTCCTGGAAGCCGTGTTGATATTGTTGGCGTCCAAGTAGTCGTTCGTGGGATTCATGTACCAGAACTCGTCGTTGCCGTGGAAGGAGACGTAGACCTCGAGCTTGGCCTTGTAGATGTTCGTCGGGAGATTGCTCAACTCCACGCGGCCAGGGTCGGAGCTGTTTTGGATCTGGAACCAGTAGCCACCGTTTTCCGAGGTTGCCAGCGCGACTGGAAGAACAATATCGGCAGGAGCCTCGGCATCCACCAGAGAAGAAGACGAGTTGGAGGACTTGTAGAAGTTGGCAGTGAGCGTCACGTTGAAAAACCCGGTGTAAGTCTCGTCGATCACATTGGCTAGCGCGACTTCCAAACTCTGTGGCTTGTCTAGCAAGGCACGATACTTGGTGACGTCTTTCTCTACCGTCCAGAAGATCCCTTTCCTGGTCGGCTCGGCGGTGGACGTCCGGAAGATCTCCACTTCACTCAGCCACACGGCCGAGATCCGATCGAACTGCCGGCCTTTGCACGTGACATTCCAGACGAGGATCACCTTGTCCCAATCTTCGCTACACTCGGGAGCTTGAGGAGGATTGTAAGGCACCACGACCGGCGGCGAGCTGATCGTGTTGCCAAAAGAATACTTCAGCAGCAGCTGCGACGCGCAGTGGCCTGACTTTGGAACTGAAAGTGGCTTGCTCACCTCGAAAAACCTTGAAAGGGAATGCTGCTGCTGCTGTTGCTGCTCATCAACTGAGAACGCTGGTCGTCGAGGCTGCTCGAAATCCAGGTCCCCCAGCTGAAACCTGCTGCTTCTCCCAGGAATCGCCTGAGCCACTGCCGCCAAAAGTAGCAGGAGCACCACCAGCGCCATGCCGCAACTTTTAGGCCTTTTACGAGAAACTCCCGCCACTTTTGGTTTATAAACTGCCTTTTTAAGCGCTGGCGATGCATCGAAAACCACTTTCATCGTACTGTGTTGTAGTGTTGCTCGTTCGGATGCTCCGGTGGTAACATCCCTCGCTGCTCTCGGACACGTAAGTCTGGTTTAGCTTTCCCGTCCCACTGGTGACTATATTCGCTTGGATGACGATTTTCCCGGCAGTGTCTTGCTTGTTGTTGAGCCGGCTCCAAAAGGAGTCGTCGTCGCATTCTTCTTGAAGTCCATGCGAGATCCTGGCGTCTAAAACAACAGACTTGTTGGTTCCATCCTTCTGGGAGTTGTAGAGAAAGAAAGGGTACGAGCTCGACTTCTGCTGCAATCTAACCTGCTTGGAGCTGCTTTCCACCAGGAACTTCGTCTGTGCATCGATGAGCTGCTTTACTGTGGAAACGCTGCCATTGTCGGAGAAGATCATCTGGTTGGAGAACTTGTAGCTGTACGATGAAGTCGTTATGAGCTTCCCGTGAGAGGAAGACTCGACGTAGCCCGAGTATTGAAGTGACCGAGAGGCAAACAGCTGGAGAGTACCGTCAAGACCTTTGTAGTGTGAGTCGTAACTGATATCGGCTGGAGGAGAGCTGTAAGAGACGAGCTTTCCGGACGTCTGCGAGCTACCATGGTCTAGCCAGAGGTGTAAATTGGCGTCCAATAACCAGTTCCTGACAGCGTTGGTGACGCTCAAGCTGATCTCATGGCTGTTCCCATCCACCAGCTGGCCAACAAACGGAGTTACGTCGAGAATGTAGGTTGGCAGATTGAAAGCCCCGATTGCTGCTGCTGGTCTCCAAAACAGTGGATTGACGCCACCCGTGTAGATCACTGGAAAGGGACATATCTCTCCAACAAGCTTCCCGTCCAGAGTAACCACCACTTCCCTGTAGGGACCGTTCCTGGAGCCCGAACTGCTTTCACCGTTGGCGTCCAAGTAATCGTTCGTTGGATTGGTGTACCAGAACTCGTCGTCACCATGGAAGGAAACGCAGACCTCGAGCTCCGCCTTGTAGATGTTTCGAGGAAGACTGGTGAGGTTCACAGTTCCAACGTGGGAACTGTTTTGGAGCTGGAACCAGTAGCCACCATTCTCCGAAGTTGGCAAAGCGATTGGAAGAACGAGGTCAGCGGGCATCCCCTTTGAAGAGCGCTTGGAGTTTCTCTGAGCCGGTTTGTAGAACTCGGCAGTGAGGGTGACGTTGAAGAAGCCCGTGTAAGTTTTGTCAATCACGTTCGCAAGAGAGACCGCCAAGACCTGTGGCTTCTCCAGCAACGAAGTATACTTGGTGATGTCCTTCTCGACGCTCCACACAATCCCTTGCTTGGTAGGCTCCGCCGTGCAAGTCCGGAAGATTTCCACTCCAGACAGCCATGCTGCGGAGATTCGGTCAAACTGCCTGCCCCTGGATGCTACGCTCCACCTGAGGATCACTCTCTCCCAACCCCCACCGCAGTGGCTCGATCGGGGAGGATTATAAGGAGCAGTGACCGGGGGCGAGCTGATCGTGTTGCCGAAAGAATGCTTTAGCAGCAGCAGCGTCGCGCAGTGGCCGGATCTAGGGATGGACAGCGGCTTGCTCACCTCGAAGAACGTCAGTGGAGCTGGATCTGGGGCTGGCGCTGGAGCTGGCGCTAGCGAGGAATGCCGGTGTTCGGAGTGCTCGAAATCCAGGCCGCCGAGACGAAATCTACCTTTCCCTTGCGCCGTCGCCGCCAGGAAGAGCAGGAAGAGCACAAGCGCCATGGATTCCCTGCACCTAGGGTTTATCGACGGGAAATTTTAATAAACCCTTTGAGCATATACCAGAATATTCTTCACCGTATGTGCATTCCCGCCATTAGGGCCTAGGGTTTATCACTCTTGGCGGTGGCGATGGAGGCGATGGAGGACGCAGTGGATGATCCCAAGCTGCCGGAGCTCAAGCTAGGTGCGCCTCGGGCGCGTCATTCTAATGTATTCCTTGTCTCATTTCTTTCCTCGCAGATGCGAAGCAAGCTCAGGGTTTCATCAAGTTCTTTCGCAAGCTGCCAGAGGTAATCATCCAGTTCTTATGTTTTCTTCCTTGATCTCCTTGCGCTGGTCACACAGGATCCATCAGTGATTCGGTTCTTCGATCGACGGGTAAGTGCTTGAGCTTTTGGTTTTCCCTATCATCAAGAGTTCTACATTTTTCTTTTCAGGACTATTTCACTGCCCACGGGGACAATGCTAGTCTTATCGCCAGGCTCTACTATCGAACCACGACCGCTCTTCGTCAGCTTGGATCTGGGTCTGATACTCTCTCCAGCGTAAGCATCAGCAAGAGCATGTTTGAGGTGATCACTCGGGACGTCCTGCTGGAGAAGACCGAGTACAACGTGGAGCTCTACGAAGGCAGTGGAGCAAACTGGAAGCTCGCAAAGTCCGCAACTCCGGGAAAGCTTGGGAGCTTCGAAGACGTCTTGTTCTCGAGCATCGACATGCACGACACGCCGGTGGTGATGGCAGTCTGGACAGTCGCCCGTGATCAAGAGCAGCTCGTCGGCATAGCCTTCACGGACATGACGAGAAGGACGCTGGGTACACTAGAGTTTCTAGACGACGATCAGTACACGAACTTGGAGTCGGCTCTCCTCGCTCTGGGATGCCGGGAGTGCGTTCTTCCTGCGGAAAATGCCAAGAGCGTCGACGGTCGGAGGCTCCGAGACGTGCTCGCTCGATGCAACGTGCGACTGACTGAGAAGAAGAAGGCGGAGTTTAAGTCGCGAGACATCGAGCAAGATCTAAGCCGGCTTATCAAGAGTACATCGGTTGAGGAGCTCCGAGAACTCGTTGTCAAGTATGAAGTTGCGTCAGCGGCATTAGCAGCTCTACTTGCGTACACGGATATCTTCGCAGATGACAGCAATCACGGGAAGTATAGACTTCAGCAGTACAGCCTCGACAGATACATGCGGCTGGACGTGGCCGCATTGCGAGCGCTGCACGTACTCGAGTCCAAGAATGATCCGAACAAGAACTCGACCCTCTTTGGACTGATGAATCACACGTCCACTGCTGGGATGGGCAAGAGGCTACTGAACAGGTGGCTGAAGCAGCCTCTACTTGACGTTGATGAGATCAAGCACAGGCATGACGTCGTCCAGATGTTTGTAGAAGACGCCGAGCTGCGGGAAAGTTTAAAGAACTGCCTCAAACGTGTGCCGGATGTTGAGCGCCTGACGCGGAAGCTCGAGAGGTCGAGAGCTACGTTGCAAGACCTCGTGAAGCTTTATCAGGTTCGTAGTTACTGAATACCTTGCTTACTGTAAATGCTCTGATCATTGGTATACAGGTAAGTGTTCGTCTCTCCGTCATCAAAGATGCTCTTGAACGTTATGAAGGCGAGTTTGCGTCCGCCGTCGAGGAAAGGTACGTCGTTCCGTTGAGAGAGTGGACGCTTGCTGAACATCTCGGAAGATACGACGCACTGATCGAAAGCGCCATCGACCTGGATCAAATCAAGAATGGCGAGTACATCATTTCGGCATCATATGACAGCAGCTTAAAAACCATCAAAGCTGACCGTGATACCGTGGAGGAAGAGATCCGTGAAGCTCATGAACAAGCCGCGAACGATTTGGATCTTCCTGCTGATAAGTCGCTGAAGCTGGACAAAACGACGCAGTGGGGGCACGTATTCAGGATCACGAAGAAGGAGGAGCCTAAAGTTCGCAAGAAACTTGCGGTGCAATACATCACCTTGGAAACTCGAAAGGATGGGATAAAGTTCACGACTTCCAAGCTTCGAAGGCTTAGCGAAAGATATGGGAGCCTGACAGAAAATTACACCAACACTCAAAGGGATCTTGTTAAGAGGCTGGTTCAGGTTTCACAGAGCTACGTTGAGGTATGCTCGTCGATCCTTCTGCGTTGGTGATTTTATACGATTTGACTTACTGCAGATTTTTAATGGTGCGGCAAACCTGCTGGCGGAACTGGATGTCTTGTTAAGCTTTGCGGATCTGGCTGTAAGCAGTCCTACGCCTTACGTAAGGCCTATTATCACTGGACAGGTACGTGCTGCAAGCTTGCTAAAAAAGTATACTAAGAAGTTTCATTCATTTTACTAGAATGAGGGCGATATTATCTTGGAGGGAAGCAGGCATCCTTGCGTAGAAGCTCAAGATGACGTGAACTTCATCCCAAATGATTGTCGCCTGGTAGTTGTGCTTAGACCCCTTCGATGTCTATGTGTTCTAATTGTTTCTTTACAATGCAGATTCGAGGCAAGAGCTGGTTTCAAATCATCACTGGGCCAAATATGGGAGGCAAATCAACATATATCCGTCAGGTGAAGCTTAGAGTTTCTTACGTCTTACTCTGATACAAGCTCTTTTTATTTAGATTGGTGTGAATATCTTGATGGCTCAAGTCGGCTGCTTTGTGCCCTGCGATCGTGCTGAAATCAGCATACGAAGTTGTATCTTCGCCCGGGTTGGAGCAGGAGACTGCCAGGTAACTCGGCTACGTCTTCAAGTTCTAGGAATAAAAACTTTTCCTGCAGTTGCGTGGTGTTTCAACGTTTATGGCAGAGATGCTCGAAACCTCGGCGATATTAAAATCTGCAACTGAGACTTCTCTAATAATTGTTGACGAACTCGGCCGGGGTACCTCGACTTACGATGGATTTGGTTCGAGTTTGCTAACTGCAAGATTTTCTGGTGCTCTCTAACGCTCTGTAAACAATGGCAGGTCTGGCTTGGGCAATCTGTGAGTACATAGTGGATGTGACTAGAGCGCCAACTCTATTTGCAACGCACTTCCACGAGCTCACGTCCATTTCTCATCGTCAAGGTCCATCAGCTCACGGTCCCAGCAAAGGTCCTCCTGTAGGAATCTCCAACTTTCACGTGAGCGCACACATAGATCCCAGCTCTCGAAAGCTCACAATGCTTTACAAGGTACTCGCGTTTCTTCCTTTCTAATGGCTTTCGAGATCTGCTCCTTTCCCAGGTTGAAGATGGCCCTTGCGACCAGAGCTTCGGCATACACGTCGCGGAATTCGCTCGATTTCCAGAATGTGTCGTCGTGCTCGCCAAGCAAAAGGCTGCCGAGCTCGAAGACTTCTCGCCACAGGCGATTCTGGAGGACGAAGGCGACGCTGGAAGCAAGCGAAAGAGAAGCAGCAGTAGCAGCAGCAGCAGCGGGGACAAAGGCTGGAAATTCCTCAAAGGCTTTGCTGCGTTGCCGCTGGATCAGATGAGCCACGAGCACGCCTTGAAGAAGGTCCAGGAGCTCAAAGCCGAGTTCCTGGACGACCTTCCCGTCAACACTCTAGAAGCAGTAGCGTAAAGATCTATAATAGTCGCAATTTGCTGCGTTATTAGTGCAGCATTTATGAGAAAATTTATAAGTTTTATTTTATGTTTGTGTCCACAACGATCATCACAACGATTCTACAAATTTTATTGCTCGTAAAAAACGTAACTTTCCACGCATACGTGGACATCCGAGTTGGACACGTGGCTGATGATCATTGGATCCGACTTTTGGATGCCAATAACATGGTGATGAATGACTATCCATGAGGGCATACTTCCATGCATGTCGTGTGGATGGCTTGCCTTGACTAACGCCTCCCGTTAAACACCATCCTGTTTCAGTCTCTCTCCACCTAGCTGGCAATGAAAGAAAAGAACTTGAACAGTGAGACAATGGCATGTTTATCTCCGCATCCTGTTAAACACCATCCTGTTTCAGTCTCTCTCCACCTAGCTGGCAATGATGTGGCACGATTACATGGCATTTCTCTCTTTCCACTCCCGTCTGCATCTATCCGCCCGACGACTGTGGTCTTTCTCCGCTTTTGACCGGAGGCGCTTCTTTAACGTCTGGAGTTTGGAAACATTTTTTTTCCATTGTGCATCCTTCATGGAGAAAGAAAAGAACTTGAACAGTGAGACAATGGCATGTCTATCTCCACCACATTCGATTCCTCTCCATTAGTCTACCTAAATCGAACAGTTAGTCAAGCCTGTAGACTAATAGTCTCAAGGCACGTGATTTTACAGTGTTCAAGAATGGAAGTTAACGAAAAAACTTTGCCAGCGCCATACAAAAGGAGGAGGCCATTGAGGGGCAGAAAGTAGGTAGCAATGTTTTGGGCAGTCGCGCTCTTCCTCTTCTCAGCTTTCATTCTCAAGCAATGGCTCTCCAGCAAATCTCTCAATCTTCCACCAGGTCCCAGAGGATTACCTCTCATCGGCCACTTCCATCTCCTGGGCAGGCTCCCACATATCTCACTCCAGCAGCTCTCCAAGAGATATGGACCCCTCTTTCACTTGCGCCTGGGATCTGTCCCTGTGTTCGTGGTCTCCAGTCCAGAAATGGCCAAGGAGTTTCTCAAGAACCACGACACGGGATTCGCCTACAGGCCTCGGAACAACGCGGTCTCCATAGTCATGGATTGCCGGAGCATGTCTTTCTCGCCATATGGAGACTACTGGAAGAAGCTGAGGAAGCTCTGCGCCACGGAGTTATTCACGGCCAAGAGGGTGAGTATGAACACGCAGATCATCCGGGACGAGCTGTGGGGGCTCAGTGGTGAGCTCTTGAGAGCTTCTAAGGCTGGCCAAGTTGTGGGAGTGAGACCACACTTGAGAGCGCTCAGCTTCAACGTCATGACTCGCATTCTGATGAAGAAGACGTACTTTGGATCCAAGGCCTCGGGCGATCCCGCTATTGCGAAGGAGGCCTCGAATTTCATAGCGATGATTGATGAGATC